CGGAATACTTGAATTTTGATTTGACTTGGCCCAGTGACATGCGGAAGGGAAGCCACCTACTGATACAAACATGGGTTGGGAGGAAACGAGGCAAAACAAGGAGAAGCGAGGCGGGACGGAGCGGAGCGGAGCGCAGGTGCAAGGAAACAAGAGGGAGAGAGATCACGGCGAGTAGCACATGCCGGTAGCCGGCTGACTCTCCTGAACCCGTGTCGACGCGCCGCAGTCAGTGCATGTAGCCCACAGCTCGCTGCGCGCGCCGTCGTAGTGCCTGACGCTGAGCTGCGGAATGGACTTGCAGTGCGGCCCGTGACCTTGGGGCGGCGGAGGCGGGTACGAGGGCATGCTAGCATCCCACGCCCGAGACCCGTCCGCAGCGCCACCGGCTGGGAAGCCGTCGACGCACATCCCCTTTCCGTCTTCGGTGCTGCCACCGCAGGACTCGGGCATGGCGCCAATGGCAGGCTCGAAGATGCCGAAAGCAGTGGATTGCGCAGAGGAGCTACCCGACGCGGACGAGTCGATGCGCGAGCGGGATGTGCTGGTGGCATCAGATGAAGAGCCAGCGGCGGGGTAGAGTGCAAAATCGGGGTACGCAACGCCACCGTTGTTGGCAAGTGTGCGTGAGCCGAAGAAGCCATCGCATGGCGTGCCAGGCGGCAGCTCGGACGCGGGCGAGGATGGAGAATCTGCAAAGGTTGGGGTCGCGATGAGCGCACATCCACGCTGCTGCACACAGGACCGCCAACTTACGCGAGGAGCCAGGAAAGACAATGGGCGTGGATTGCTGCTGAGAGGCTAGCTGCAGCGTCTTGTACAGAGCAGCTGCATTTCCTTGGCCTGGAAGCATGTTGAGACCTGCCAGCATCTGCCGGTTGAGATCTTCAGGCAGAGGATGGAACTTGGCTTCCTGGTCCATCGTGCCAGGCATGCAGCGTGGCAGAGAGAGCTGTCGTGAAGAGTGGGGAGTACGCGTTAGTGCGGGTTTCGAAAGAGTATAATGTAATAATGTGCATGTATGCGCATCGCGTGCTTGCATGCAACGCATATATCACGTTCAAACACACCTTCCGACGTTCTGCCAGGTTGCCGGCAAAGCCATCATGCACATCCTCCTCGTCATTGGCCTTCCGCTTCCTACCTGCGCCCGCACCAGCCGCGGCGGGGATGGGGATTTTGACTGGGCCAAAATTAAGCACGCCTGACATTGGCATCACGCCGTCTTGAACATCTATGGGCGATGGCTTGAGCTGCTGGTGCTGCGGCAGTTGCAGTTGCAGGTGCGAGTGCGGCTGGCGCTGCTGCTCGGCGGCCAGTTCCTGCTGCTCGAGCACATGTTGCGCGTGCATGTAGGCGCCGTAGCCGTAAGCGGAGTTGGGGAACATGGTGATGGGCCTTATTGGGCAAAAGAGAGGAGAGAGTGAGTGAGAAAAGACAAGGCGGTCGTACGAGTCAGTGCAGTTGCAAGATACGGATGCAGATGCAAGTCGAGTTGCGGGCAAGTGCGAGAAGAGCTGTGCTGAGGTTGCGTTCTTGACTTAGCTGGACTCGTGTTGATCGCTTGCGGAGAGCAGATGGAGGACAAGTCGCAGTCGAAACGGAAACGCGTCTCGGGGGAGTTGTTGTGTCACGCGACGGCGCGTCACGATGTGCCTGGAGCGCGGCGGATGAGAGACGCGAGTAGCTGCCGGAGGAGTCGCACGCAAGTTGATGCAAGAGTGCGAAGGTGAGCTGTAGTGAGGTTGATGGAGGGGGCGATGTCGTTGCAAGGATGGATGCCTGGCGGATGTGTGGATTGTGATGAAGAGGGAGGTGATATCCAGTGGAGAGTGTGGCAGCCACACCTCGAGCCTGCTATTCGCAGGTTTTCCCACGAGCGAACACCAGACTCCCACAGACCAAAGGCATGTGCTTCGCATGCGGAGAGCGAGAGTCTGACCCATGGGAGAGACAAGGGGCGAGTGTTCCGACTTCCGAACGACGATAGCAATAAAAGACCAGTGCAGAGTGGAATTCGGAACTTCGAGAGGGACAAGCAAGGGCAATCCTTGTGTCAGAGTGCAAGCACCCTTGCTTTCTCGGCCGAGAACGCTCGTTGCTGATGGGATGTGCTGAAGTAGCAGCAGATCAGCCTCTCGCCTTCAACGCTCGGCTCTCTCATACTCTCCCGCTCCCTCCCTCCCCCATTTCCCCCACTCTCTCGCGAGAGCTTCCTCTCATCATCACGCGACAAAGTCTCGTCGACTGCACACAGATAAGTAGTAGCTGCGCATTCATCTGACCTTGTCACTCGTCAATAAGCGATAGACAGACAGTACACCTTGCTCATCGAGCGGGTCAGTGGATACAAGGTGCCCACACGCTCAATATTGCACCTCCCACCGTCAACTACCTCAATGCAACGTAGTCACTGGCCAATATTCAAACTTTTGGTTGCCGCCTTGTCAATTGGATGCTCATTTTGCAGACGTTCTCCGGTGCATACGAAGCAACGCATTTTTGACAGGCAGCGACTAAGGATTGTCTTCCGGTGGACCCGTACTTTGCACTTGTTCGCAGTGTGATGCGCTCCGGGTCTTGTGGCGTACGTAGCTGAGCGCCCGTAATACCGGGACAAGTCGAGCAATGATTCGAGCACTTGGGGGAGGGGGGGTGACTCCCTTGAAAAACAGACACGCATATGCTTTCAGCGGTGTCCAGTACTCCAGCAACCAATACGCACACATGCGCATATAGTACACCGTCATCGCATGCAAATGGCTCAACCTGGGCCCCCAGCTCTGCGTGAGACAGATTGGAGGCTATGCCGGCGCTCGTGCGATGGTGAACGCCAATGTCTTATTCTGGTAGTAAGGTTGTTCAAAGTCTGTTCGTGTGTCAATGTACGCTGAGATGTACCAGGAGAGATCGCATTTTAGTCCACACCATGTCACCCACAGCAGCACATTGGGCATATTCACTCGCACTACCTTGCAGATAGAGCCTGTAAGCGGCAGCACTGCAAGCCCCAAGTTGCGAGTGGAAAGTTAGAGCGTTGGTGTTCTGTCGGAACCAGCAGATTTCAGCACGACTGCTGCTCACCAGCGCTCGAAAAGTCGGTGAAAAGTCAGTAAAGTCCTGAAGCAGAGCGACAAGCTGCTCGTCTGGCAATGATAAGAATGGTGTAAAGTCGCCCTGCTGAATATAATCCATTACCGTGCACGGTGCCGCCTCCTCGATGTGCGCGTGTGCTCCATCTGCGGGGATGAGCATGAGCTCCATTTCGACAGAGGACAAGTCGGTCTGCACGCCGACGCTCGCTTTCTTCTTCGGGGCACACTTGCGCTTCTTCGCAGTTGGAGGAGCTTCGAGGCTATCCGCCTGCGTGAGAAAATGCGCCTTGGTGGTCGACTTTGCATCAATGAGTTGCGATTGGACTCCTTTCATGCTACCCTCTGTGTGCTGCTGCCTTCGCGCAGCGGGAGAGGAGTTACGCACAGCTGAGGCAGAGGGAGGCGAAGGCTCTGCCGGAGGTCCCGTCGCCGTCTGCTGTTCACAGGTGTGTGCTTGCTCCCCCGCCAATAGCGCTCCATGAGAACTGAGGGCATTTGAGATTGCGACCGTGCCCTGTGCCACAGAACCGTTCGAAGCTGAGCTCAATGCGAGGAGCGCAGAGACCGCCAATGGCAGCTTCGAGGGCTGAGGTCTGGGATGCGTGTCCTCGAATGGGTCCGGTGCACGTACGCAGCTTGCTCGAAGAGTCGGCTGCGCAGCAGGAAGTTTCGAGGCCGGTTTGCAAGCGTTAGGATCGACCTTTGCTTCAAATGTGCCAACAGCGGCTCCTTGACCTTTCCCTTTGGCGTTGCGAGTGCTCTTCGCCGCTGGACCTATAGGGCAAACGTTCTGGAAGAAGGATCGGTCAACTCATCAGAGCAGAAGGCGTGGCCGGTCGCAAAAGCTCCAAGCATGCACTTCGATTAGGTCAACGAAGCGCTGCGCCTCTGCTTCGCTCTTGAACATCAACTGGAAGCGGCGATAAAACGTCTGTACGGAGATATATGCAACGTGAGTGCTGAATCTGTCAAACAATCTCAACGCTTATGACCGACATGTTCGGGGGAAAACGACGGATGAGCGGGGCAGCGGTAGCGAACACCGACAACTGATCCTTGATAGACGGCTTTGAGAGGCATCTGCGACCGTTTCAGGGAAGGGTCCGTCTCGCTTTGTGGCAGCGACGATGACGCGATAGTCGCTGAACTCTGCATATACTCGGCAAAGTCTAATTTCTCCTGGGGTTGGAAGCGTAAGAGCGAGCACCGAACGAAGAACGTCAGATGCCGAAGGAGGTAGGAAGATGAGGCAAAGAAGTTCTGCTGCGCACGAGAAGCATGCATTTCTCTTCCCTTTGCGAGCCCAAGGGCGCGCTATATGCGCCTTGGCTCGGTAGCTGCTGGCTAAACGCAGGCACATCGTCCTGAATGCGCCACTCGACCGTGAGGATCATCTTTTCGTGTGCGTTCATCATCTTGTGTCCCTGAGGCGCGGTCGTCTCGCATGACTGCATGTCCAGAACACATTCAAGCGAGGGCCGAGAATAGTGCTGCCACGTCACTTGGTCACTGGGGCGGCCATCAGAGGGTGTGCTTTTGGTACGACCTTCGCTGTACTTGGCCAAACTGAAGCGGTGAGTCACCACCCTCCTCGTGCTTGCTGACGCGGACATCGTATAGGCCTTTGGATTGATCACTGCAGGAACGTCGTCAGATCCGAGTGGAAGAGAGATGGACAAAAGTTGCAATCGGCAGGCCGTCACACATCGAAGAGAGCAGGGCAGCGATTGTGCGCTCGACGGTGGACAGCTTTGCGTCTTTGGGGAAACAAAGACAACATCGAACAACCTGAAGGAATGTGGGGTTAGTTGCAAAAGGCGATTGATATCAGTAATCGAATCGTAGTCCTAAAGTGTGAGATGTGAAATGTGAAATGTGAAATGTGAAACTGAAAGTTGGGATCGAGGAAAGGCCACCAAAAGCTGTTGCAGGCGTGTCCCTTAGGCCAAGGGTGGGTCGTTAGCTGCTTTGATGGCGGTTTGGGGTGAATAATCGCACTTCAACAAGTTGCAAAAAGCATGTGGGAGTTGATATGGAGTTTCAAGCTGCGAGCGTCAAGGCTCACATGGACGATCACCTTTGCTGATGTGAACATATTGCAATAGAGTGAAGTAGGCTACACAGTCAATAGATCACCGGTCTGCGCCAAACTTGCAAGCGCACGGCACTAGGGAAAGTCGCTGATGAATTGGACGGAAAGCATTGGCTGTAAGCTGCGATCAGAAGGACATGGCGTTCTTGACGACATCGCTCTTAGCTTTGCCACCAGGGTGTGCTCGGCCAGTCTTGCCAGCATGTGCCTTCTTCCCATGATGCTTTTCGGCCTTGAGCGTTTTCCTTGCCCTCTCCGCTGCAACGCGCATCGCGATGAGACGCTGGTCTCCTTCCGCCGCTGCTTTCTCTGCTGCGCCACGTGAAGGGAGGACAGCAGGTCGACGTCGTGGTTTGCTGTCATTTTCGGACGCTGAGTGTGACCCATCTTCATCCAGGCTTTCTCCTTCGCTAAGCTCGCCTTCGTGCTCTCCGTCCTCGCTGTCCGATCCTTCTTCCTCGTCATCATCACCATCATCATCATCATCGTCTTCTTCGTCCGACTCTGACACTGTGGCTTTACCTGCAAGTCGAAGCTGTCGCATGTGCTGTGCAAGTGGAAATGAGGGTGCTCAGGAGAGGCTAAAAAGGTCGAGAGCAAGGTGCGCAGACTCACCTCTTCCAGATCTCTCTCTAATCTCCCGCCAGCTCCGAATCCACTCGCCTTGACAAGCGCATCCAGCTCTAGCACCTCTCCAAGCTCCGGGTCCCTTTCGTCTTCAATCCCAGGATCGATGCCAGGATCCTTATCTTCATCAGCTATTTGGCTCTCTTCATCGTCAACACTCAGGACCTTTCCTTTTGCACGCAGTGCAGCAGCAGCGACCTCGCGTCGCTTTGCACGGTCGACCGGCACAACATCTCGGAACCTTGGGTACTCTTCTGAAATGTAGCGGAAGCGCTTGCGGAAGAATCGCCGGACGCATTGTACGTCTCGGTCAAAGAAGCTGAAGTTCGATCGTGGACGCGATGTCAGCCGCATTTTTATCCACACTACAACCGACTCAACTCACTATTCAGCGTTCTCATGTTCGACGCTAATCATTTGCGGAAAGTCGATGACGATGGGCTCGATCTCGGTGCCATCGTCGAATGTCACACGCTCCCCTCCTTCATCATCACACTCTTCATCAGAGCTCCCGTCCTCTTCGCCTTGCAACCTTTTCTGCGACGGTGCGTCCTCGATCGCCTGGGCTTGGGGCGCCAAAACGAGGCGTTGAAAGCCTCGGCCCTCTTCTATTCGCTCATGGTCACTCGCCTGCAGAGGCAATCGCCGAGGATCTGAAGACTGCTCTTCAGTGCGGGCTGCGGTGTCATCCTTGTATTGGGTGTGGCACTCGTGTTCGGTTTCTCGATCGTCTGCCTCGACCTCCTTGATCATCAAGTTAAACTCATTGAAGTCTCCGTGTATGAGACCTGCCCGTGCAAAGCGCACAATGAGTTTCATGAGTTTTGAGTATAGGGGACCGACTTGCGTTTGGGGCAACTCTGCGACTTGACGAAGGGGATAGGCATTGGAAATGTATGACATCACGATGCAGTGACGTGACTGAGCAATTGGCCTCGGCACAGGAAATCCGTGCGAATGCAAGATCTGCAATAGAGAGGCGCATCAGCATGTGTGTTTCTGAAAAAATCTAAGACGAGTGCTTACCTGCATGAATGCAAATTCCTTCATGGCAGAAAGCTTACTGAGATACATCCAGCTTGCACTTTTTCGCTTGCCCATGTAGTCACGTTTCTCTTTGACCTTACGAAAGCTGATACGACCGAGTCGATGAATCTTGAGAATGCGCTGATCTTCTTCCGGGCCGGATACAATGTAAATGTCTGCAGGATAGTGAGATTAAGCGAGTGAGCAATGCTGGACTTGTCGGACAAGCTGTGCTGCAGGGACATACCACTCTCCTTGCCTACGCCGACCTGATGGCCGACAGCCTCGATGCTATCATCCTTGCTCAGGGCCCTCACGGCAAGAAAGTCGTAGCCTCCATATGTGAGTCTATATCCGTCGTATTTCGCATTCTGAACTCTAGCGATGAGGTTGCGTTTCGCCAGAGAGCCCATGAGCTTGTTCAGTCCAGAATGTCGCAGCCCAGATATCTGCGCGATAAGCGCAGAGGGAACAATCTCATGGTTCTTTGACCCTTGTTCAAAAGCCTTCAAGACCTTGAATTCTTCAGACGTGATATATCGCAGATCAGTCGCGTCCAACTTCATGATCGCAGCGGACTGCGGCTGTTTGCCGGGCGAAGGTGTGCTGACTTAGGTGCCTGGTCTTCGGGGATCTCGGCGGATGGTACGTGCTTGCAGAGAGCGATTTATGCTTTCATTCGCTCGTGATCGTCGCCTCACTCTTCTATGCGGACATCAGCGACACGGCCAAGGTGTATTGACTCTTGCAGCAGAAGTTTAGACCCAGTGGGCAGTAAGTAGCCAGTAATGAATGGATACTAAAGTGGGCTGTGAGTCTGTGAGATGGCGAGTATGAGTGGTGAACGTGATGGCAAATTCATCACGATTGCGACCGCCCAAGGCCAAAAAAAAGAGCTTACGTAATGCCACTATTTGTGGCATTCTGATGCTTCGCTGAACCGCGCTTCACTCTTAACAAAATGACGGCACTGACTGCGGACTGTAGGGGCACGGGAAGCTTGCTACTTTGGGAACGAGTGACGTGTCTTTGGAATGACCAGACCAGGCTTAAAATTGACTCATGTATCAGTTCGGCCTCGGGGCTTGGGCGCTGGCTCGCAAAGCAGCCGTGAGGTCCCATGGGCATTTTGAATCCCAAAGCTGCCTTGCGACTTGCGAATATGCATGGCGAGCTGTAGAGCCTGATGGATGCTCGTCGGTGCAACCCTGTCACCAATATCAGAGACCATCGAGTGTTGCTAAGCGATTCCGAGACGTGGCAGATACGTAATTGGCTCTCAACACTGTTGCGATATGATGTGTCTCATGATCACGAACAAGAACAAGAACGCTGCTCTCCTCGCAACGAGCCTCCGTACCTTTCTCCACGGATCTGAGCCAGACCAACTAGCCATTGAGAGAAGCCCAGACATTCAACGTCCAGGGGCCCATGAGACACTTATCTGACAACCTGCCATGTCCGCTTGCTCGATGTGCTTTGATCCTGGAGCTGATTGACCCACTATCCGCTAAAAGACATTCCGCAGCAGAGGCAGTTGCGCTGCTCGAACGCATCTGCGATGGGTGAGTCAAGATATTGTACTTCGGCCTAATCGCGTCGCTATAACAAATCGTTGCCCTTGCCGCCATCTGCGTGGAAATTCGTCGCATTCTGAATGTCTACCCTGGTTGGAATGCCCTTCAAAAGCCTCTGGAGCGTAAGACCTCCTAGCCTTCCCGCTTACCTTTTGGCGCTCGAGGTCATAGAACAGGAAAGGGGATCCGCCTTTCCCATGTAAACCTTTCAATACTTGATGATTTGTGTGTTTCAGCGCTCGGCCCCTCCGCGTTCAGCCTCCAACCTCCTGCGCGTGCAAGGTTGAGCATCCATGTTCGCGGTCCAGCGTAAGGTTAAGCGTTCATGTTTACTGCGTTCACCGCTCAGCACTCAGTCCGCAATGCTTATAGAATTTCAATGGCAGCCACCTTGCTTCGTGGAGGGAAGTCGTACTATGAATGGTAATTTTAAACGGTTCGATGGAACCAACGAAGGGCACGATAATGCGACGAGAAGGTCATATGATCAGCCCCAATGGGGTGGCAGGAGGCAGGCAGGTGGTGACGTGACAAGCTGCACCAGTCGCTCATCACTCACCTTCCGCAACAGGTTGCAACTGCGGTAGACCACAAGCTACAACAATAGATCCATAACTATGCATTTATGTACACACCTACACGATGCTGTATAACCGTGCATTCGCGCTGCCCAACTTCCAAGGTGCGAACTCCATGCAGACAGTTGAAAACTCCGAGCGCTGTCGTACACATCATACATATTAATCGAGATTGGAGTCTGGAGAGGATATAGGCATTGGCAAGACCCGCTGCCAAAGTTCCGGCAAAGATTCGGGGCAGATTCGGCAATTGCACGAGTAAGGGGATGCAGGGCTCCTAAAATCAATCCCGCATAGGAACAAGGACAAATACGGAGTCTCCATGCGCCGTGTGCGCCCTCAAAAAACTAAAGGCAAGGAAAAGGGGAACAATTTGAGACTGTTTCGAGGTTCGGCTCAGTCGACAAGCCACTCCGCACATCCTCCACTTCAACATTTTTTCCTTTCGAGCTCTGTCCTCGTGGCTGGCTTTTTGAGCCTATGTATAGGGAGGACTACAGCGTGCATTGACTAGTTGCTGGCCATTGCAGTCACGGCCCTGAGTCTTGACGCAACAGTGTACAGCCTTGCACAGCTGGCGTGCAAACAGTCATCAAGCTCTGACCAAGAAATGGCGATCGAGCCTGATGATGTCTGGCCTGAACCAAACTGAGACACCCACAGGAGGCTCAACACTGGCCGAGCTATACAATGCTACATACGAACTCAAGCTTACCATAGGCGCATAGCGGCCCTGATGAACCAAATGGCAATCCGCTAATCTCCCATAACCCCCCACGAAAATGGGAAGCATCCGCCGGGAATGCTCACACGCTCGCAGGCGAATCAGTCGCTTTTCCCAATTTCCGTTACTGTGAATAATTCGGAATTGCCGTTGGAGTGTTCAAAGTCCAGAGACCAGAAGCCCCCTTGATCGTGACGATGAAAACGCCAGACCTGGGTCAGAGTGAAGCTCGGTCCTTGCTCTCTGGCCTTTGGGGAAGACTGGGGTTTGGAGAGCGCCGGAGTGGGGGAGCCGCCGCACACGACTACATAGGAGTATTGTAATGCTCTCTTTTGTGATGCATAGCAGATGCAACCCAATTCAATATAGATATGGAATGTCCACTATGGCAAGATTATCGAAGGATATCAACCAGTAAACTACATGTTCGACTGCCAGCCTGTTGACTCATTGGCGGCTCAATGCAGCAGAACGAATCAGACGCGGGGGAGCAAGGCAGAGCTGCCCCTTTGAAGACGGACCTGGCGGGTGGTAGTGGAACCTGGCAGGTCCGGTCCTTGATTTGCGGCCAGTCGTTGATCGCTTCCATTTTTGTGACGGTTAGCCGTAAATTCTTATACGCATTATGATGCGCAGGTCTCGTGCGAGTTGTGGCTTATTGCGACTTTGCCGTCTTCCGAGTGCCGCGGCCTCCCACAGGGGCTCGTTGGCAAGTGGGCTGGTGCCGAAAATTTGTGATGCTCTCATCGCCCCCTCTCCGCAAACCCTCGGCTTATATTGTATTTGGCGCTTGCGACATGTCGCGGTGGAGACCCTCCATTATGTACATGACCCCTTCGTTCGCATTTTTGTGTGAACATTTACATATGCACATGTAAGGTAGCTGAGGGCATGCTTTGTGCACTCTGCAATCTTGTGCCAGGATCGGTCGCGCGTCTGCGTAAAACAAGCCAGCGACCCAACCCGTGCAACGTTTCTGTTAACACGCTCACGGTGCACCAGGCCCGGCTAAGCCCATCTTCCAGACCCCAGCCAGATTCCCCACGTCAGTTTGTGTGGGGAAAGGTCGAAAAGAGTGGGGATATCCGGGGCACGAACTTTGTATATGGCAAACAGATAATCGATGATCGAGCCTCACGATACAGTGTGTTCCGTAAGGGGATACATACGGTCCACATGGAGTCGCACTATACCCTTTGTATCCCATACAACAACTAGAGAGACGTATAAAGAGCAGTTTCCTTAGCTTTGATCTCTCCACCGCATCCCCCGGCCTTCTTCAGCATCCCTAGCTCGCCCTCCTCTGCTCCTGCTCCGCCCTCTCGACCATCGCCAAGCCTCAACCTCGAAATATTATCGCCTCCGAACCAACCCTCAAGTTCCATGCATCATGGAGGAACCACAGCAATTGCTCTCTCGTCGTGCGGAGATCGAGAAGACCGCTTTGACTGGCTCGCAGCTCCCACGGGGCCAGTTCATATTCAGCTTCTCGCTCGTCACCATGCTTTTCTTCCTCTGGGGTCTTTCGTACGGGCTCATTGACTCGCTCAACGCACACGTCCAGACCGTCTTCAACCTCAGCATTGCTCAGTCCACCGCTTTCCAAGCGGCCTACTTTGGGTCGTACCTGGTCATGGCCCCATGGGCTGGTGTCTTCATGCGTCGCTTTGGCTTCAAAAAAGGTATCCATGTGGGTCTTGGTCTCTTCAGCTTGGGTACGATCATGTTCTGTGAGTGCCACCTGCGTGTGTCAAGATCTGCACGAACTAGCCGGCTGACCTGCATCTCGTCCACACAATGCTACAGGGCCTTGCGCTATCTTCAAGAGCTACCCGGGCTTCATCGTGTGTACATTTGTCGCTGCGTCTGGCCTCTCATGGCTCGAAGTTGCTGCAAACACGTACATCACAGTTCTTGCACCCAAGCCAGGTTCTGCGCCGTTTCTGCTCAGCTTTGCGCAAGCCTTCAATGGTCTCGCCACAGTGATCGGACCCCTGATCGCCAGCAAAGCCTTCTACTCAGTCGGCGTATCTCTCGGAGGCGTCCAGTACACCTACCTCGGTGTCTCCATGCTCGGTGTCCTGATCAACCTCGGCTTCTGGGTTGCGCCGCTGCCTGAGGTTCGCCAAGCCGTCTCGGTCGAAACCGAGAAGCGCATCCAGGGCTCGTTCTGGACCCAATGGCACACCACGATCGGTGCCTTCTGCCAGTTCCTCTATGTTGGAGCCCAGGTCGCCTGCGCCGCCCTCAGCATCAACTACATCATCTCCCAGCCCATCCCGGGACATCCAGAGGGTATCTCCAAGGCGACCGCTGCCAACATGTACGCCGGTCTCCAGGCCAGCTTCACCCTCGGCAGGTTCCTCACCGCCCCGCTCCTCAAGAGCTGCGACCCGTGCCTCGTGCTCGGTATCTATGGCGTCATGACTTGCGTTTTCGTCGCTGTTAGCGGGACAGTTGGGGGCATCGCTGGCATCGTCTCTCTCTACTTCCTTTTCTTCTTCGAGTCTGTGCAATACCCGACAATCTACGCCATCGCCACATCGGGTCTCGGCTCGTACGCGAAGATTGGTGGCTCGTTCGTCGCTGCCGGTGTGTCGGGCGGTGCATGGTACCCAGCGGCACTGGCTTCCTTCGCCGATCGCAAGGATATTGCGCATGCCCACACGCGCGCGTACTTGCTCGCTATGTTCGGCTTCGTTGCGGTCTCGGCGTACGGCTTTGGCATGTTTATCGACCAAGGCAAGCGGCGCGGCCACTACACCTGGCGCAACCTCAACGACCTTGGCAACCTCCCAGCGCGCGGTGAGCTGCCGGCCCAAGCGACCGCCTCAGGCCACTGGGTCACTGAAGCTGGCCAGTCGTCTGTCGAGGAGACTGACTCGAAGGAGCTGAAGGTATAGACGACACGTCCCTTCTAACAGCACGTTCACGATATCATCATACCGACTTGGCTACTTTGGACCGCTTTTCAAGCTGACGATTATATTCACGGCCACGGGTTACATAAACGCAGGCAGAACGTGTATTTTGTTGTAACATACAGGACGACCACGATTCGATGCAGGCCCTTGCTAGGGATCAAACGCACACTATTCTTAGCTTTTTGATCGTCCGCCTCTTTTCAATTTCGCTCTACCGCCCCCCCCCTGGGTTTCGCGGACGAACTTTTGCAAGCAGGCCAGGTTGGTGCCATCGTCTGACCAGGGCTGTGTTCTGAGAGCAGAGAGGCCAAATACTCATTGACGCCGGTTCGTGCGCCTGAAAATTTATCGCCAGCACGGCCGATGTTCTACAGTCCCTGGGAGAGACAAAATGTCCGCCAGGAGGCACGGCGATGATCAAATCAAAACAGCTGTTCTGTGCGGCGGAGTGAGCTATTATAGTATGCAGATGTGTGCTGTCTGTTTTGCATACTGTAACTGCGCTGTCACGCCGCGCGGAGCGTCTCCGTTTCGCATGTGGTTGGTGGTTCACTCTGGTCGCTTTACGTCTTGACCGTTCCACCCTCGACGTCTATTTGATCATAATTCATTCACTGCCAGCTGAGGTTGGTCTTTGTACAACTTCATTTGTCGACGCACAGATGTGGACTTGCACAGCCCGGCGACCACTGGGTGCATCATCCGCTCCACGTTGAGCTACACTATGCAAGGTGCTGGAGGCCTCGTCACCGCAACTTGTGCCTGAAAGGTGCGCCGAAGTCCGTCATGCCACCATCCCATTCCACATCATCAGCTCCAGGCGAAGCAAGCGAGCTTGTTTACCCTCAGCTGGCAAAAAAACGCTCTCATCGCCTCCTTGGGTCAGATGCGGCTTCTTCACGGCCCCCAGCGAGTCCAACAACAAAGATCGCTACGCTGCGCCCTGGTAGCTCAGCTGCTGACTCCGTCTTTGCTGGCGAGCAGCCAGGTACACATGGACGCGACAGAGGCGGTCTAGGCTTGCGCATACAGGGTGATGCCAGGGCCGCTAGCAGCATCAGCCGGGCGTATACATCGCCCATAACAGGTTTCAGTGGATCCATATACGGCAGCTCTCCTCCCCCTTCTTCATCTTCGGCTGCTAGTGGTACTCTTTTGACGCTCTTTGGAGCGTTATGGACGGAGAATGCGGGGGCGACAGGCTCAGAGACAACTTCTCCATCAAAAGGGGATATGAGGCGATCGCCTACCATACCTTCGAGCCCAAGGCCAGCAATGCGCAGTGCGCCATTGTCTACAGCGTCCAGCTCGGCCATGGGTGAGTCTGCCACTCCCTCTTCGGGCACCAAAAGTTCTATGGCAGGCTGGGGCACTCTGTGGGCCTGGGGTGGGACATCGAAATCGCCAGCGGCACATCAGCAGCAGCAAGCGACGCAAGAACAGGTTCCTCTGTCCGCCCCCTTGCCCATTACCGCAGAAGCAAACGGTGTAGGTGCGGATGATCAAGTGACTTCAACAGCCGCGCAAGCTGCTCAGGCTGGTAGGAAAGGTCGCTCTAGAGCGGCTATTCCCTTTGCCACCTTCTCACCTACCTCTTCTATTAGCGATCTACCCTCCGATCCGCCGACCCACCCACCGCAAGCCTTATTGCCAGATGCAGGCGACAGCAGTGCAGAGAGCAATGCAAGAGGCATCAGCGCAGATACTTCGCAAAGCACGCTGTTCAGCAACGCGAACGAAGGCTTTAACGCGACGCCGGCTGGAACACCGCAGGAGCCAAGTGCAGATGAGCTGATGAATAAGACCTACAAAAGCAGCATCGGCGGCGAGGATGCGTATGCAACCCTTTCGCGTCTGCGTAATCGTCCAAGCGTACTGCTAACCACACAAAAGGATGTTAGCTTTCAAAGTGGCCCTGCTGGTAATGACAGAAGCGTCCCACCCTCGCCACTCTTCAGCGCACTCAGCTGGAATGCGACCATTACCAACAAGTCGGCTGGGGGCGCATCGCGCTTCTTGCGGCGAGGCGGCGGCGATGGTGCAGCAGCTAAACGCTTCATGAAATTGAAAGGAAAGGACAAGGAGGCACCGCAAGGATTGTCAATCGATGATTTCGCTGACTTGGAGCAGGTGGCACGCGAGCTGGAGCGTGTCGATGACCATGTCCGCCGCATCGTCTTTCAAGCCGGTCTCGATTACGAGACGCGGCCGATTGTCGTGCTTGCTGCTTGCAACCTACCGGATCCGAAGGATCTTGACTATGACTTCCTGCTCGAGTAAGATTCCATGTGGTGTCGATGCATGGACGTTGAAGCTGACAGCCGCTTTCACGCTTGCAGCCGCATCTTGACGACCATGGACCTTTTTGTGGAGAACGATTACACCATCCTCTACCTCGCGGGAGGCGGCAAGCACCGACCAGGGTGGAATTGGATGTGGAAAGCGTACAGGCGGCTTGGGCGAAAGTGAGTCTTTTCAGCTTCTGTTGGCTTGCCTCTGGCTTTTGCTCGGCTCACGAGAAGGCTTTGTGGGTCAGATTCCGAAAGAACCTCAAAAAACTTTACATTCTCCATCCAACCTTCTTCACTCGCTCACTGGTACAGCTCATCTCGACCGGGGCGTACTTTGTCTCGCCAAAGTTCAGCAAGAAGATCGTGCATGTGCGAAGTATGAGCGAGCTGGCGACGATGATCGATATTCGTCAGATTGACTTTCCGCCTGAGGTGCTGGCGTGCAATGCAAAGGTGGAAGAAAAGGTCATCTTCCCCGAGGGCGAAAAGATGGTCTCAGAGCGCTTGGGCGAAGGGCTGGACGGCAAGATCTTCGGCGTACCGCTTGAGAGCATCATGGGCGAAAGGGGAGAAAAAGGCGGCGTGCCGCGTGTGCTGCGCGATTGTGGAGACTTTCTTCGGAGCAGCGATCGCCTGCGTGCCGAGGGACTGTTTCGCCGCTCTCCATCTTCTGCGCTGCTCAAAGCGGCGCAGGAAAGCTATGATCGCGGCGCGCCCGTCAACCTTGACAACTACAACGATCCAAACATTGCTGCTGTCTTGATGAAGCTCTTCTTTCGCATGCTTCCCAAGCCGATATTTTCTGCGACCCTGTATCCGGCCATCAAAGCGTGCCCGCGGCTAGAAGCAGGCAACAACGATGCAGAAGTGATCACGTACATCCGCGATGTGGTACTCGGCGCGATCGAACCACCTTGTAACCTCACCGTGCTGTCCTTTGCACTCGAGCTTCTGCATTCGGTCTCGGTCCACAGCGAGAAGAACAAGATGGACGCGAGCAATCTAGCCACCGTCTTCACGCCCAATTTGGTACGTAGTGGCAATGCGTTGAAGGACATGACTCTGTGCCTCGTGCAAGGCTCAGCGACCATGTCAGATGGGCCAGCTGCCCAATGCTCGGCCAAGCCGGCGCAAGAAAGCGAGACGACGCTCGGTACGATCATCAAACTCTGCATCGAGCGTCATTACGAGATCTTCGACGAGATAGATTTCGAGCCTCCGACGATGACTTTCGATGACAGTGGCGTCCATGACATGTCCCTGCAGACGGCGCCTAGCACGCCGGATGCGCATGCGACGCCAGCTACGCTGCGAACGACGACGCTGAAGCGCGGCCACCGCAAAGTAGATTCGGGCGGGTCCAGTTCGAGATTCATCAACGTGTCCGCTGCTAATGCGCCGCATGTCGCTGCAGCGGAAGCATCGCCATCGATCCGCTCGGCAAAGAGTAGCGAGTTCCGAGGCCCAGGCTCCCTTGCGAGCATGAGTCGCAATGCGTCAGGGAGTCTACGTCTGACCAAAGGCCGGCTCGGCTCGAGCAATTTCAAAGCGATTCCTTCTGCGCTCATCGTGACGCCCGCTTCTACGGATGTGGGCGCGGCGGCAACTTCGCCGTACGGTAATAGCAATTCGGATCTCTCATCGCCACCGTTGACCGGCACCAGCAGCGGCGTGACGGTCTCGAGCGCCAGTGCACTGGGCACCTTTGCGTCACCGCTCAGCACTACAGCAGTGATGCAACAGCAACAACAACAACAACAGCAGCAGCACTCATCCCCCGCATTTGGGCTAGATGCTTCCTCGCCTCTGCCAGTCGAGCAAGAAAGGCAGGAAGCAGATGGGGCAGATATGCCGCGCAGGAAACGTGGGAATACTTTGCGTAGGGAGCTCAGCGTGGTCGAGGACGCTGAAGAATGAATGGACACTGTACATTAGGTGAACGCGCTAGCAATCCAGTGATACCCCTTCCTGCTGCATACTGTTTCGGGCACGGCACTTTGGTTGTGATCAAACTGCCTCTTCGTTCTGATCGAGACTGATGAATTTAAAGTCTACTTGGGACTGGATCGTTTGTGGGGGCATGCGAGCAAAATTCAAGCATAAATACACGTAACTATAAATTCAGGGACTAGAGCTTCAGGGCGGTTCTGTTATGCAGCAGCCGAGACACGGTGACGGGTAAGGCGGAGCTGAGGATCATGACGCCAGTATACACCTGCATGGGCACGTAGTTGGTGTCGTTGTGACTATCGAGCAAACGGCCGGCGACCGGTTGCGAGCCGAGTGCGCCGAATGCGATGATCGTCACGCCGATGCCTGTCAACATCGCGGGAATCACATCACTGTCAGCACATTTGCTGTTGATTTGGGGGATTGCCTTACAGGGCGGGTCGCCATCTGATGGACTTCGCGTGCACTGCGATACACTGCGATGCGATGCTTTGTGCAGGTATGCGGGGAATAAGACTCACCGACCCAGGCGGAGATGAGCTGCGGAGACGGCGCGAGCTTGGCAGCGACGGGGGTGAAGAGTGACTGCAGCGCACCGCTGAAGAAGCCGTAGAAGCAGCTCCAGACAATGTTGCCGGCATTGTCGTGGGCTGCGGTGGTTGCAAGAGTGGAGGCAAGGGCGGTCAGGTGAGATGCTTCGGCATCCGCGTTCTCACGCCTTTGTCGGGACGTACCTGGAATCCAGCACAGGCTGATGATGCCGGTGATGAGGATGACGAGGATCAACGTGTTGTAGTGTCCGAGATAGCGGTCTGTGGATGGAGAGATGGGGAAGCATTCATCAGCCTCGGGCCGGCGCCTGGCGCGAGGGCCTCGATCGAACGCGGAGGGCGAGCTCACCGGCGATGATGCCGCAGAAGAAGCGGCCAAAGAATGAGACGCCGTTCATGATAGAAGGATAGTAGAAGGCGGCCTGGGCGGATGCACCCCAGCGCATGGCGTACGGGGTGATGTAAAAGTAGGGAACGTACAGCGCAAAGAAAAGGACCGTCAGGCCGAAAGCGAGGACGACCATGGACGACTGGCGGAACCACATGCCGAGGGGAAGACCCTTGGACTGGCGGCGCGGGACGCGCGTTTTGATCATACACGCCGCGACGAGCATGATGGCGAGCTGGAGGAAGCCAACGGTGCGCAGGGTCCAGCCAAGACCCACGCCGTCGTAGTTGAGTAGCCGGTTGATCAGCACGGGCCAGATGATCCCCCCCAACGACGTCCCGCTGACTGCGAGGCCCGTCGCGAGTGCGCGCTGCTTTAGGAACCACTGCTGCGGCGCCGCCAGCGCTGGCGTGAACGACAAGCCGAAGCCAAAAGCGCTGCAGAGCCCTTGCGAAAGAAGGAAGTGCCAGTACTTGGTCTGCGCGGCGGTGGCGGCGGCCCAGGGGGGAGGCCAGGGACCAGATATGTCAGCTTTGCGGTTGGTCCCCATCGGAACACGGAACAAGACATGGGAGGCATACGCACACTGATGGAGGACATCATGGTTCCAAAGACGATAAAGAAGGCCGAAGCAAGGAGTGGGACCTGGGAAGACGGGTGAGAGGGGTCTTAGTCTCTTTTTCATTTCCTCCCCTGCAGGGTCGGATTGTCTGCAGTGAAAAGCAAGCGGCTCACCTTGGGCCCGTAAAGGTCAAGCAGCAGGCCGGCGGGGATACCGAACCCAAAGGCGCCCCAGAGCTGTATGCTGCCGATCCACGCGATGGCGTCCTGGCTGTGGCCGACGAGCACGACACGCGAATAGTACGACTGGAACACGCTGAAAGAGTTGATGTAGCCGACGCCGGCGGTGAAGACGAGGGTGCTACCGACGACGACGGACCAGGCCTCCCAGCCGCCGTCCGGGAAGCTCATCGTCACGGGTGGCGCCGCTGGGAGCTGCTGCTGCTCAGACGCCGGCGAGGCCTGGCCCAGTGACATTTCAATATCCTGCGATGTCTTCTCGTTGGCGATACCTTCAATACCCTGCGAGGTCTTTTCACTGGCGGTGCCTTCAATATCCTGAGAGGTCTTTTCATTGGCGGTGCCGTCAATATCCTGCGATGTCTCGTTGGCGATGCTGTAGCCGCCGTGGGTCAATTCCCCGGACGCGGGCACGGGCACCGCGTCCGGGGGGTTCTCGTCCTGTTGGAGGTGAGCCATGCTACTCTACAGTGCATTGAACGGGAGGTAGCGATGGCGGGGCAACTGGAACCCGTTGCTCGAATTGAGAGCAGCCTGGAGTGCGAGTCGGGATGGATACCTTTTGCGGTGGATGGTGATGATGATGGCGATGATGAATAGTTGTAGTGTTTGGTCCGTCCACGCTCGGAGTAGGTACTGGACGGTGCAGAGGCACTCGATGAAGGCAGGGGGACAATGAGTAGATTCATTCTAGTCGAGGAGTCAACACGTGCACATGCTATAATCGACCATCAGTGGTAAGAGAGAGGGGGAAGAGGTAGACGGCCAATGCACGGTCACGTGATCGCTTCCTTCCTTCACAATAGTTGTAGTAGGAATTGGTATGCAATATGCATTGACCAGCCCTCCGGCCAGCGGGAACGTAGGTATGGGCCGACAGAATATATAAGGCTGACAGCAGCCTGCGCCTCGGGTGGTTGTCGCTGGGCACATGCCGGAGCGACAACCCAGCCGCAGCCGCGCTAATAACGGAAAGAACGTAACTGAGGTAGTGCCCAAGCGCCAACTCTGGGACTGAAGCGGTCCTTCTATGGTGGAACTTGTAAAAAAAAGAACTGGTCCACAGGTTCAACCAGTCCGCTTTGCTAATACACACACGACACTCTTCCTACATTCCATGTTCGAGATGTACCAACAGGCAACAGCACGAGACCCCCGGGAAGGTTCATTGCCTGTAATACATCTATATCTATGTAGGTTTTCTTCTGTATGTGGATGGACCGTTGGAGTGTTACATTGTGTTACTGCCTATGCGAACATGTGGACGGCTGAACACGAATCAAAAGGTGAAGCCCGGTGCAGGGCGCAAGGGCGTTTGTTTGTTTTTGTTTTTTTTATTAGGGTCTAGCACATATCCTGGGTTGCGCACTAACTCAACAAGAGGGTGCGAGCAGCCGACGTGAAAGGTCTCGTCAGTCGTGATGTGATGCAGTGTCCTCGCCATGCGAAGGGCCAGTCTGTGTGCGTGTGTGAAGGTTGCGTGAGCATTGGACCAGCGGGCCTCTCTGCACAAATCGAGTGGATCTGTGTGACGAGTTCGCTGCCGAAGCTTCATCACTTTCCACGAATTAAATGAAATTTCTCGTAGTCCGTTTTAATCGCTTGATCCCAAATCCAGCCGAGATCCACGTCAGAACGCGCTGCATAGCGCATTTCGGGGCCTGCTCGGATCTGCGTTCTGCAACAAGCACATCAACAGGCGTCCAGTGATTCAGCTTGATCAAGATTTTAGCGCATCCGCTGACAAGCGTCCAAATTCCAAATCCGATTCAAGCAAACCCACATGGACCGCCAAAGTTAAGTCAGTGTGAGGAGAGCACATAGAACCAAGTAATGTATGCTGCGCCGGCTCGATATGGTTACTGGTCATGCGGTGCGAGCTGACCAAGTGGACGAGGGCCGAGGGCGAGTCTCGAGAAGGGTTTCTGATCACTATTATCAAGTGTGCAACAAGAGGTCTTCCATTATACAAACCCTCCTTCTCTTGTGTGTGGTGTAGGATGGGTCTGCTGCCGCCTGCGAACTCTTTGCCACCCAGGTACCAATCCCCATCAAACACCCTCGCGGTTGTCTCGCCGCGCGGTGATGTCGCTTTTCTCAAATGCAATACTATAGCACAGGCTTATCTTAAAGTGACCAGCACCGGGGATGGGAGACTCTTTTCTTGGCCAAGGCTGCAACATATCCCCGAAAAAAAGCCTTCATGTTGGGTTTCATTTGGTATTCCCTGTACAGGATAATAATGCACTGTCCCTGCCCATCGTCCGCCTCACCGACTTCATGCTCAGGTATGCCCCCGCCCAGCGGCCTGCAAGCTCAAGGTGCCGTAGGATTGCTCCATCACAATTCAGAGCAACTGGGGAGTCATAAGATCTCATGAAATTATCAAAATTACGTAGGAATGGATGACAACTGCTTCAGCGCGAAGTTGGCTGGGGATGTCTTCATGATCTGATATCCGGATCCGGGACCGGAGCTTGCGCTCGTGATGGAATTCTGCGAACCACTTCTCAAACCCATGAAAAATTCCAAGTCATTCGGCTCAGGCTCCGAGGCTCTACATGAGACCAGCGTAGGAGCAGTGTGAGGCTCTAGATCGGATTCCTGTGCCATGGTTGGAAGGCACAGCGGGACGGCCTATTTGGACGATCGCTTTGATGCACCAGGCGGCACCGGTAGCGGTGTACCGTGACACCTGGGCTAAAAGACTCGGATGCGTGTGAGTGGTGCAGTTCCAGCGCGGTTGTCCATCGCATGCGGCAGCACAGACAAAAATAAACAAATGCTGGTAGTGTGGTACATACAAACAGAGACACAGCTGACGGCTCCACTGCCAATCCGGGGACACCCGCTTTCCGCAGCGATTTCACCGGAGAGCTAGGAGTTCTCCGGCGGCCATTTGAGGCCTTTTGTAAGATCAGCGGGAACCCACGTCGGCTCTTAGCAAAGTACAAAAAGCGCGGGATTGAACCCTCTTTCCTTTCCGAATGAACCTTCTGGCTCAGACGCAGAGGCACCATGCATCGTGGACAGCTCTGATTATGGCGAGGTAGAACGCGAACTAGCGACTGCATGGTGCATGCCGACTTACCGCAACATGTACATACCCAGACATACATAGATGTACATACATATGTACATATATTCATACATACATACAAATGCAGTAATTCAAGAACGCCGCATCCGGGCGAACTGCGTGAGAGAATGTGAAGGTGCAAATATCCCGAAACGTCTAAAGAGCAGCCCAGGACTTTTCCCCGACTGATTCAGTGATTTGCAGTCGTATTGTAACACTCTCATGGTGCGAGACGTATAGCGCAGGTAATTTGCGCGCATTTCTTACCAAACGCCGCTACTCTTCGATCAGATGCATCTCCATCTGTTCATCCTCTCACTTTTGCCTCCACCAGCGCCGCTGACCTTGCGCCCACCTGTCCCTTCTCCCACCAAGTCCATCATCTGCGGCCCCGCTAAGAGGGCAGTCTGGGTCGTCACTACCGACCTGAGTTTTCACTTATTATTACGTCTGTTCTTTCTTGACCATCGTGCTCTCTCTCTAATCTCCACCATCCATCTGCGACCAGCCACTCATCATCCTTTCTCAGTCTTCACCTTCTTCTCGACCCCGTCCAAGCGATCCTCACGACGCAGCCTCGCTCGTGTGGCTCGCTCGCAACCTTCGATAGAACACCAGAGACCGAGTGCGAGGCGACGATGTCGTTGGTCGAAACCTGCTCAGCCACGGGCTGCGCCGGGCGCCTAGAGCTCGGTCACGACTACTACATCCCGTTGGATCCGTGGCAGCTGCGGAAAGAGATTGAGGCATATCGATGGTCGCTGCTCGCGGTCTTCGGCGTCTTTGCGTGGGAGATCATCGTCACGTTTCCTGAGGAGTGGTCGCGCTGGAAGCAGATCTTCCGCCGCGAGATGGTGCCCATCAACGCCTGTGTGCTCACCGCGCGTTGGGCCGCTTGGGGAGGCGTTGCGGCGGTCACGATGTATGCCTTCAGCGAGTCGCCAAGGACGAGCTGCCAGGCTACGCTCACACTCATCATGTTCTTTGTCGCCCTCAACTCGGTGAGTCGTCCATCAATCTTGTGGGTGCGTTGGCAGACGACATCTTAACTTTGCTCGGCTTGATCCGTCCGCCCATCTTCAGATTGCTCTATCACTTATCCAACACATCCGCGTGACCGCGCTGCATGTGCGCAACCTCCGCGCGCGTCGCCTCGTTACCGCGCTCGTCGTGCTCAATGCCTGCGCGTGGATCGCATCCATTGCTGGCTTCCGCGCTGGGCCGACGAACCCAAAGGTCGCCCAGCCGGGCTTCCCCGGCTGCTCCCCGCTGCCGTCGCCCCGCTGGCGCTCGCTCGGATGGGGCGTCAGCATGGTCGTCGACGTCGTCATCCTCCTGCTCACCCTCGCGGGCACCGGCGCGATTCAGAAGAACATCCGCCACGCCACCGGCGGCAAACATGTCATCAACCTCCTGCAAGGCTCCGCTTGGATCAACTTCCTTGTCACCTTTACCGGCAACGCTGCCTGCTTTTTCACCACCGTCTTTAGCGGGAACCTGATTCGTGAGTAGTCATCGTCGCTGTTAGCCCCCACTAGGTGCTGCGTGTGGGTGCTCCAAAATCCGTGTCTGACGCTGCTCCTGCTTGCATCTCTCCACTTGCTCGTCGTGCTACAGTCTCCAACATCCCCATCGCCATCTCGACCCTGTTCAACACGATCATCGCCGCACGCGTGGTGTTCCACAGCATCTCGTGGAACGAGGGCAGCGACATTCTGCTCGTCGGGCCGCACTCGCGACGCCCAGACGACTATGGCCCCAGCGGGCTTGTGCGTGGGTCTGGCAGCGCCGGCGCCGACCATAGCATTGGAGGCGGTGACGGCGGCCTCACTAACGGGGGGCTATCGCCACGCTTTGCTGCGGTGCTGGAGAAAGCCGGCGATGACAGCATAGCGCGGCGGGGGAGCGAAAAGCTGAGCAGCGGGTTCCGGTTCAGCAACCCGCGTGCTATCTTCTCGACCAGCAAGAGCGGCCCGCCGAACTCGCTCGAAGACAAGGAATACGAGGATGCCGTCTTCCGCGGGCGCATCTCGATGCGTCGCGGGTCCGAGCCGGCGTCAGGACTGACGTCACCCAAGGGGACGCCGGACATTGAGGCGCAGCCGGCAGTGGCGCGCTGGACGCCGAATGTGTTCGGCAACAGTGGTAGCGGCATTGGCCCGACTGTGCTCGGTTCGCCGCGGCGGATAGACACACCGAGCGCCAGCAACGGCGGTGCGGCGTACGAGCTGATGGTACCCGGGCAGCCGCCGCGGATCGCCGTCGCGCGCTGCGCCACGGGTCGCAGCTTGGCGCCCGCAGGTCGCGGCAGGGTCAGCCCGACCGGGCACGAAGGCTACACGGGCGTGCAAGTGCACAAGGAGGTCTTCCGCATCACACACTGAACTTGCGGCGCAGGAGCGCACACGTTGCATATATACATGCGCCTTCCCTCCTCTCTTATCCACACCACACCCTTCTGGACGGGCGGGGCGTCGGCTCAAGAGCATGGGGAGGAAAGTTCGCCTCCGCCATATCGTTCTCTTCACTGCAAGCATCTCGCGTCTGCATCCGCTGCAATGTTGCATCCCCCTTTTCTCGCACGGCCCACAGTGCAGTATAAATAGATACCATGACATGACCCACTTGCAGAGCGTGGCCACCGCTCGCCCTGCGATCCATCTAGTCATTTCATGTATTGTATTAGTTGGTGGTTAGAGCAGTTTTTCGTACTCGGCGATGATCGGTGGGTCACGTGCGATTTTGGGTGGGGGATACTTGCAAGTAGGGTTTGACTGCGTATCCACATCCATGCTTTAGACATGTGCTGGACAGAAATCACCGGCGGGTGGCGCAGTTGTCCCTTCCATATCGGGAGCACAGACGCGGCCAGGGCGCCGGCGCTAAATTTGCGCTCCGCTCCGAAGGCGGTCCGCGAGTTGCCACTGAGCTCCAGCAGCGAGGGCGGAATCTGATGTGCGGTGCTCTGCGGCCCCTTATCACGTCTCGAGGATTCTGGCCTGTGGCCCCAGTGAAGTGTTGCCCCGAAAACGGGAACACAGGGCCCAGAAAAAGCATGACGCGGGAAACGACGCAAGTCACTACATTTGCTGGGCTGGCGAGAGTTTAACCGCAGTTCGGTTCTGTTGGCGGACTGCCTGGCCGCCGAGGTGCCATCTGGGTGGCGTCTGGGTGGCGTCTGCAGCGCCCATAATTCGACCGCACAAGAGAGCGTAGGGAGAAGGCGGGGGTGAGGGTTATCAAGGGAAGCGGAGGGACGGGAAGGGGAAGGGAGATCACCGAGGCGAGTATGGAGTGCCATCCATTTTGATTTAGTGCAGCGTCTGCTAATTAGATTGCGGCAACCATCGCAAGTATATTGTGTGGCGGCGTACTGCATGTGCTTTCGTATTGCGATCGTTATTCGGCAAATATAGCACCTATGATAGAAAGGACAGCCAAGAAAAAAGGCAAGCCGGGCGCAGGCAGACGCACACCTTGCGATCATCACAGCACGTTTCTTGTCACTCATTCTCCCGGCGGCATTCTTTAAAAGTTGTCGGCTCCACTTGCGCATCGAAAACAAGCAGGACCAACCTCCTCCTTATCTTGTTACCCCCTCCACCTCGGACCCCTCTTGTCTGTGCCATCTGCGCCAGACGGCCTCCTCGTCGTCACCGCCAACAGGGCACAGCAGCCATACGACAATGTTGCCCTCCTCCTCAGACAACGTCACCACCGGCTTGCTCCACGCCGCAGCCATGGCCACGATGCGTGGCATGGAGCCGCACCCGGCGTCATCGTCAGCAGGCATCCGAGGCGTGCAGCTCAGTACGCCGATCTGCCTGCTGCTCTTGCTCCTCCTCGTTTGCGTACGCCAGCGCATCTGGCCCGACAAAAAGAACGCCGTCGCTCTCGTGCCCGACTGCGCGCAGCTCTCCGGCCCTGACCTGCGCCGGACTGCGGGTACGCTGCTCTGGGGCCACTACCGCATGCGCAACAACAGCCGTGACGGGCCGCTCGCCGTGGAGACGAGCTGGGCGCAACAGTATGGCGCAATCTACCGCTACAAGGGCTTCTTCAATGCGGACCGCATCGTCATCAGCGATCCGCGCCTGCTGCACCACCTCCACAAGACACACAGCACCAGTTTCCCCAAGCCAACCGGCACGCGCAGGGTGATTGAGCAGATGCTCGGACACGGCATCATCACGTCTGAGGGCCCAGAGCATCGCCGCCAGCGCCTCGCGCTTGAACCCCTCTTCAGCCCCTCGGCAATTCGGAGACACTACTCCTCCATCGACCGGCACGCCCGCATCCTCGCTCAGGCCGTGCACGCCCATGTCGTCCTTTCACACCCGCCGCCAGGCGACGCCGCTGCCGCCGCTCACTTCCCCGCTGCGCCGCGCTTCTCGCCTGCGTTCGCCGCACGCCTCGCGCGCGACCTGCAGCCCGCCGCCGCCATGGACGGCACTGTCGTCGACGTGATGCACTGGGCGAGCCGCTGCACGCTGGACATGCTCGGCAGCGCCATCTTTGGTGCTACGTTTGACTCGGCCTCCGAGGACGGCGACGGGAGCGAAATTGACCCCAAGGTTCAGCGCCTGCACCGCGCGACGGCCGACGTGGAGCAGCGCACGAGCGTGCTTAACATCTGGGAGATGCTCGGCATCGAGCTCACCTCGCATCGCCTCCTCCCCGCCGCACTCGGCTTGAAGATCCTTCCCACGCTCCGCGCCGCGCGTGCTCTGCGCGAAGCCGTCGCCGACATGGCCAAGGACGTGCTGGAGCGCATGAAGCTCGACGAGCCCCCGAGCTTGGGCCACTCAAATCCCGCTGGCGCCAGCAGCAGTGGGGTGAACGACTCCAAGGCGGTTCACCAGGGATTCCTGCAGCGGCTCATGAGCGTAAAAGGCGACGAGAAGCTCTCCGACGATGATATCATCCAGCAGCTCGTCACTCTTATCATTGTCGGCCACGAGGTGCGTCTGTCGCGACTGTTGCGTTGGAGGCGTTCGTGTGCAGCAGGGGCGCGGTGCTGACATTTCTCGACCCTTGCTTTCTTCTGCGTAGACCACGTCGACGGCACTCTCATGGACGTTGCACTGCCTCGCACGCCACCCCGAGGTGCAAGAGAAGCTGCGTGGCGAGCTGCGCTCCGCAGCCGTTGCAGAGCTACCGCAAGACGGCCCGGCGCGTGTGGACACGATCCTGCACCGCCTGCCGTACTGGGACAAGGTGGTGCGCGAGGCGTTGCGTCTCTACACGCCTGTTCCCGTCACGCGTCGCCAAGCGGACCACGACACTGTCGTTCCGCTGCGCGACGAGGTGTGCTTGCGCAACGGCGCGCGCACCCGCCACATCGCCGTGCGTAAGGGCACTGCGCTGACTGTTCACTCCTGGGCGCTCCACCGCGACCCTCGCATCTGGGGCGCAGACGCGCACGAATTTAACCCGGACCGCCCGCAGCCGGGCGCCAGCACGCTCAAATCTCAGGAAGGCTGCGATGGCGAAGGTGGCGGCCGCCCGCAGGCATGTATTGACTACATGCCCTTCCTCGTCGGCAGCCGCAGCTGCGTAGGGCAGCGCTTTGCGCTGCTGCAGCTCAAGCTCCTCCTTTTCCACCTCGTCACCCGCTTCGACTTTCGCCCACTGCCCAACGTCGAGATCGGGCACGTGCAAATCATTGCGCTGCGCCCTCTCGTCAAGGGGTTCGAGGCCGACGGCGGACAGCTGCCGCTGCTGGTCCGCGCGCTCGACTGAGCGCTCGACAGCCGGTACTGTCCATCCGCGCATACCCCTGGCGCACTAGCGAGCACACAAGGAAGCTCGCATCGCATTACTGCCATCTCCCAGGGCTATTCTCCTTCCTCTTTCCATTTCTTTCTTTGCCGGGCTTGGGGCACACCACACTCCCGTTCTATGCTCCCCTTTGAGTTCCACATTACTACTACTTTTACGCCACCTCAACGTGGTCGCACGGCCCGTTGCACGCATGACTGCACATAGAGATAGAGGGTGCGAGGGAATTAGATATCAAAACGGCCACGGGCAAAGTTGCAATAGACGGCTACCGGGGCGGCCGCTTAGCAGCGCCTGGTACAGAAAACGTGTATCGTAGCACGAATCACATGAAGCAACAGCAACAAGGCTCGTTCGTTTCATAATCAAAGCGCCCCTACCTAGCTCGCGAACAGCAAAAGTTCGCGGCTCCAGTCTCGAGGCTCGTTGACACGGCCTGCGCTGTAAAGTCGCAGGGGCACCTAAGTCCTGGGCATGATGAAGAAAAACGCCTCTTCAATCAAAATTTCTGCATTTGGTATCCTACAACTTGGCACCCAGGTGCTTTAGTTGCTCTACTTCGGCGTTGCGTGCCGCCTGGCCTGTGGCTTTCTTTTCCTCTTCCTGCGCACGACCAGAGAGAGAAAGGGAATGGCAGGTCAATATCGTCGAGAGGAAATGCAGAGGACGTTCATTCGCTGGAATATGCACCTGGAAGGCCTTGAGCTTCTGCTTCCCTGAAGCGACTTTTTGCTGCCAGTCGCGGACCCAGGCGTCCCACTTGGGCTCCTGCTTGATGAGGTCAGGGAAGCTGACCGCCTTTCCGCCCTGCGTGAGGTCGATGTGCACGTGGTGGTAGTCGGCAATGAAGGCGAGCTCGCCGGTCTTAAGGCTGAATGCCTCGTACGTTTCGCCGTACGTCTTTCCCTGCGGGTCGATGTACGCCGGACGGCCGCCGAGCAGCACCGCATCCGGCCAGCCGACGGGCAGACGGAAGCGCGCGTTTATGGACAGCGGCAGCACCGTGATGGGCCCGCGGCCGGTCAGGAGGCCGCGGACGCCGGCTTCGCCCAGGACAGGCGGGTAAATGTGCGAGCCGAGGCGGTCGACGCACGTGTGCGCAAACTCGAACCACTTCGGACCCGTCACGTGGCCGAAGAGGTCTGAAAGGGTAAGGCGAGACACAGAGTCAGTGACCCGTAGGCGACCTTCTTGAGTCCCTGTTAAAGAGTGATGGCGCACCGATATGGCCAAAGCTGCATGGGGGGTGGGAGGTGAACTTTAGCGCAAGCGCTCAACCGTTGCATATCCGTCAATACGCACAGAACGGGCAGCTCGATGAGGGACTCAGGGATCAACCCACGGGCGATCATCTTATTGACGAGTGCCGCTCTACGCTCGGCATAGCTGTCGTCGCGCGCATGGAGGGGCGAGAGCATGGACGTCTCTTGCTGGCGCGACACCAGTGCGGGCTGCGCGGGCGATCGTTTGGAAGGTGTGCCTGGCATGGTGATTATGGAATGTCTGTATGTATATGTGTAGAGGTGCTTTGATACATTACCGCCGGGGCTGAAACAGAAGCAGGTCGAACGAAACGAAAGCGAAACGAGACTAATGCGTGGCCGATACGGCGACCTGAGGGCGATCGCTTTGCGGTGGGTGGCGGGTCGGTCGCAGGGCTGCGGTGAAGGTACAACTACGCCACACCACGGAACTGACAGGAAACACTGCAAAGCAAGTATGTATCGAAATCTACGGATGGGGCTCACTCCAGAACGGCGAGGCTACGACAGTCCAGAGCAAGTGGATAACGTTGGAGGGAGAGAGAGGCGTGTGCGGGGACGATGAATGGTTCGTAACCCGTAACACCGGCGTGGCAGGAGCGCTGTCGGACCGACCGGGTGCAGTGAGCATGGCCCAGGCATCGTTAAAATTAGGCAAAGGGACGGGTTTCGACCGCATTCAGGCATTTCCCCCGGAATATACACCTTCCCCCCAAAGTGTATCGGGTCCCCTCCACGTGCCCGTGTGGAGTTGGTCGGCAAAAATCTCACGTGATGCCGCCACACCGCCAGCACTGCTGCCCTCTCGCTCCGACCGAACAGAAATATCCGGGGGATTTTTAAGAATCTGGACGATATTCCTGGGAAACAACTCTGTTTCGGTCCTCCGCGACGATTGGCAGTTCGCCTACCCTGCAAGCGAGGCGCAGGGGGCAGTCTGTCCATCGGGATTTCTCACTACGGTCCAACACATGACGATTGCCTGTCAAGCCGTGCGCTAGGGAAATGACGTAACGACGTCCCTCCCGCTTTGTTCAGGCGCTCAAGAAAGAAATGCGAATGCGAATTAATGCCACAGATCCGTGCCCGCACGCTCACTGCAACGCCTCCCGTTTCAAAGACATGCCCTCAAGTTGCAGCGCCAGCGCCTCCTCCATCGCCGCGCTAGTTTGCAGCGTGGACCCTGCTCCTCCTTCCCCCCTTTGCATTGTAGTAACATTGTTGTGAGGCTGCTCGTCTGTACCAGTTCCGCCTGCGACGAGCGTGCTTCGTAGCACGGACGCGCTCGAGTGCTCCGTGCCCGCAGCAGCGATAGGCGTTGGTGTGCCGAGCGGAGAATCCACTGCGAGGCTCGCCCACGACACTTGCCGGCGCTTCGCAGGATCGCTCGCCGGTGGGACAGGAATCTTGACGATCTTAGTTGCCGCGACGGGCGTCGACGCCGCTGTTTTAGTCGCTGAGGCTCCTCCTTTTGCCGTCGATCCCCGCACCGGTCCTGCTGCTCCTGCGACTGCTGCTGTCGTGGAAGCCTCGGCGAGCTTGCTGCGCCGCAAGGTGCTGCGGTCCCGCAGTGCTCTTGTACCCGGTGTCGTCGACAGCTTCAACACGCTCGTGTCACCTATAGCTGATAGTGCATTGCCGCCGGTGTGATGCTGCGCAGCCGCTGACGGTGGTGGCCTAGGCAAAGTCGCCTCGAGCGCGATGAAGCTCTGCATGGTGTGCTGCAGCCATGGTTGGGAATTGTCCGCTGCTTTTCTCTTCGAGCTTCCGGCGCTGCTGCTGTCAGTACCGCCCGCTGCAACAGCCGCAGATCTGGCTGCGGACGCTGGTTTCTTGGCTGCCTTCTCGAGGGCAACCAGCTCAGGCACATGCCACCACGCCTGCACCGCCGGCAGCGGCGCATCGACGCTGAGGCCTGCGATGTGAGCGATCGTTGCGCTTATCAGCGCGCGGTCCGAGTAGCCGCCCTCGAGCACGCTGATGAGCTTGCCGTCGCTGCACTCGCGCGCAAGCCCCACCGCGTCCTGCGCAAAGCGGTGGTAGAACGCTGGCGGAACGTGCTTGCCGTGCCGCTGCATGCTCGCGTGCTCATGCACGCACGCATCAAAGCCAGTAGACAGCAGGACAAGTGTTCGCCTCGGATCCGCCGCCGTCTTGGCGAAGAAGGCCCGGGCTTTGTCGAAGAGGATGCTATAGCGCGATGCGTATAGCGCAAAGAACTCCCCCTCCGTTTGGTAACTTTGCAGATGCACTGATGGTAGAGCGTCACAGTGGGTTCGGGGGTCGGATTGTGTCAGCACGCTTTTTCTGTCATCGTGCAGAGTGCGCTCGCTGGCCGGCCCTCAGAGAGAAGATTAGAACAGACTGCATGCGGAGGCTCAGTCCGCATGGCGGACGGTCCTTCAGACCTTTTACTCGATGTGCTATCATCGCGGGTGAAACAAACGTAGCGGAAAAGTCTTGTACTCACCATTCCAGATCCACTGCCCATGCGCGTCCTCGATGCATGTACTAGCGGCGACAATCATACCCTCGTCGCCGTTCTCGCAAGGATAGCTCTCAATGTCGTGGATGCTGCCGTAGAAGATCTTGAGGCCTCGGGGTGGGATTGAGGGCATCGACGCAGCCGAAGTTGCGGACGCCCCATCTGACTTGCGTTGTTTTGTCTTGGACGAAGCGCGCGGCGAGCGGTGCGCCTCTGCGATCATCGCGTTGCGTCGCAAGTCGCTTTGCACCGTGTCTGCGTTGATACGCCATGCCAGCGCCTGCGTGCCATCTAGTTCGATTGAGTTTCACATCAACTTCCCTTTGAATTCTTTGAATGACTTCGAAAGAAGAGAGGGACTCACTGCCGTGATGCAGGTCAATATCCAGGATAGCAACCCGGTCGATACCATGCTCCAAATAAGCGTGCGCAGCGGCAACGACGGCATTGTTGACCCAACAGAAACCCTGTGGAGCGTTGCCAGTGCAGTGATGGCCAGGTGGACGGGTGAGCAGAAAAGCCCGCGTAGAGGGGAGCCTCGCAGGCGGTCTTGTCGCCGCGGTCTTGGTTGCCGCCGCGGGCTTGACCTCCACCAGGTCGGCCATAGCGCCAACAGGTGCTTCCCCTCCATGCAAGGCAGATGCGGCATGAACTACTCGATCGACAGCCTCGGCGCAAGCGCCGAGCGCTTTGCGTATTGCCTCCCCGGACCCTCCTAGATCGTCGTCCACTGCGTATGCTGTCTCGGGCGCAGCGCTTGGCCCACAGAGATACAAGTCGCCCTGGTTGAGGTTGCTCGGTACTTCGCTTGCGCGCATTCCTAACGACTCCGACTCATCCGAGTCGCTTTCACTGGATGTTGCGGACGTGCAAGAACCTGATTTGGCCGGCGTGGAGTTGACACTTCGACTCGTCCTATTGAGAGGTCGCGGAGGAGCGTGGCTAGGAGCGGCTCGGCTGAGGCGTTGCACATATTCGGCGTGTGAGCCAGTCCCCGTCTTGACCTCCTCTGACTCTTCTTCGCTGCCCTCCACTTTGACGGTGCTACTTTGCTGCGCCAGAGGCGTCACATCGCGCTGCGTTCGTCTGTTTTTCTTGCTGTGCACGCGCGCGTGAGCGGACTCCAGAAAATCGACAACCTCATCCTCATGCGCGTGCACGAGCTTGACAGCTGGGTGCGGTGGGTCGAGTGTAAGGCTTCGGTCACAGAGAAAGGTGCGGACGATGGGCGCTTGTAGGTTGGTGTTGACGCCGAGCCGTTGCATGGCCGAGATGAGATCGTCGCTCGAATCGCCTGACTCGGCAATGCTGTGCTGCCCGCTCGCGGGTTGGATGGCGCCGAGCGCCAAGTCTACTGAGAGTCTTCCAAGCACCGCAGAGATTCCAAGGAGCACAGCCCGAATCCTCTCTGGCCGTTCAACTACCATGCTTGTATCGTAGCCGCGCACATAGCGATGTAGGACCACTGGCGGCGAGAGGATCACATCCAAGGCTGCTGCAGGAACGGCCGCTTCTTGAGCAAGCGTTGTCGGCGCTGAAGGCATGTCACTGCGCGCAGTGCCAGTTGCACCTACTTGTGAAGCATTCTTTTGGACCTTGTCCGGTTCTGCAGGCGGTGCTGTCTGAGTGTTTGGCTCGCGAACTTGCAGCTGTGCGAGGTGAATGTCAGCCATTTTTGCACCTCTGGATGTGCCAGCGCCTCCTGTCTTCGGCCTTTGCGAGGGGTCAGACGCTGATAGATGAGAATCCTGCGAGCCGGATGCAGGATCCTCCGTGACGGAGAAAGCCGCCTCATCTGCTGGTGCTAGGGATGTGCTGTTTGTAGTCGTGGATCTTGTGTTGTCGGCGCCGTTCCCGCGAGCAACTTGCTGGCTACTCGCGTGAGCCGTGTTGGACAAGGCTTCCGTCAGCTCTGGCAATGCTCTGGATGCATCGCCTTGCTTGTTGGGTATCTTTATGATGAAGACCATTGAGGCGAACGTTCATTGGAGTCAGATGACGATGAGAGTGTGCAGAGAGAGAGAGAGGTAAAGAATCAAAAACGCGCAAAGGAGAGATCAACACTTCTAACACCACTTCTCGCCATCCCAAAATCGCACTCCTTACAAAACCTTGTTCAACTCAGAGAGAAGGGCAGATGCAGTGCGCAACCACCTCCTTTCTGCGGAGGCCATATACTCTGCCACGTCTGCCATCAGTTGGCTAAGAGGAGCAGAAGGCAAAGCCTCGACAGCCAAGAAGGGCTTCGATCGAGATTCCTGCCTGGATACCGTCTGGCGACAGTGAGACGTAGTCGCGATGGACGAAGACATCGAAGAGAAAAAGCTCGTCAGCTTCGAGCAGTCAACACTCTTCCTCGCGAAACTGCAGGAGTTTATTTGTCTCACTACTCCTGCGCTTGCAACTGCGTCAGGGATACCCGTCACCGTTGTTTCACCGGGGAGTGCCTTCGATTGGGATCAAACGAAGGACAAGCTCAATACGACCCATGGCGAAGAAGAGCTATTCGCAGAGCTTGCGAATATTGTGGGTCTTTGCAACAGGCTTTCTCCTTCGTTTCAGCTTGAAATTATGCTCATGCCTCCCGCTCGATGTTGCTCAGCTCGATGAGTATCAAGAGCAATCCTATCTCCTCGATCCCGTCCTGGACCGCATGGTTGCCCCGATAGCTACCGCTTTAAGATGGCACATTCAGGATTGCTATGCCCAGACTGGGAAAGAACGGTCCAGGAACGCAGGCGATGAAGACGGATATGGTCTAGAATGGCTCAGCAAGCTCATGTACTTGTACACTAAGGTACGGGGCCACAAGATCATCAGTGAGTTGAAAGAACCACACGGCCCATCGAACGCCTAAGTCAACTATCCTTTCCATCACTCTCCTCATAGCACACTTCTTTCCCCATGAGGTCGACGACCTTTTGCCGGTGCTCGCTCTGCTCGAAGCCAGCCAAGAAGCGTCCCTCCTTGAGAGACGGAATCAGAAGTACAGCTGGCAGGTGCGATATACACTCTTGCTATGGCTCTCGCTCGTGTGCATGATCCCGTTCGACCTCAAGAATTTTGACATCACAGCCACCGGTTCGAAGGCACATCGTGAGCCAACAGCCGATCGGATTGCTACTATAGCAAAGGGCTTCTTGTCCAGCTCAGGCAAAGAAAGGGATGCGGGCATCATGGTCCTAGGAAAGCTCTTTCAAAGGTACGAGGCCGACTCATGCTGGTTGAAACCTTCCCATTGACTTTATCATTATGCTCTGCGAACAGAAAAGATGCCGCTGCGCAACTGGATGCATACCTGCCATGGTGCGAGCAGAGCTTGCAAACTGCAAAGCACGACACGTCTTTCCCCTTTCTTTCCACGGGTATTCTCTTCTCACTTTGTGAATTGCTGAAAGTCTTGAATCCCGATAGAGCAAAAGAGATTCTGCCCCAGCTACAATCTCTGCTCGATACGGTTAACACTCAAGTCGAGGCTGGAGGAGAGCTAAAGAAGAACTCCCTCGTGGGAAAAGGGCGGACGAAACTCAGTGCCAGAATCGCGCTCAAGCTGCTCAAGCCAAGAAGCGCACGGTCTTTGGCTCGTCCTGGCGTCCGTGCCAAGCCTTTGATGGCGGAAGAATTTGCCGCTAATTCTGACGCAGATGCAGAATTCGACGATGGTCTGGATGCGGACGTGCCAGAAGAAGTGGACGGGTACATCGGAGAGCTCATTGAAAGCCTTTCGCATCAGGTAGGCACTTCTACCTCTTCATTGAGGACTGTCATGCGACTGACCAATGTAGTGCTCGCTAGGACACAATGGTTCGGTACTCGGCCGCAAAAGGCCTTGCACGAGTCTGTACGCGTCTTCCACCGTCAATGGTGCCGCAAGTCACCGAAGCTATCGTCTCCCTCTTCCCCAGCAACGTCATCCAGCTGCCAGATGGTTCGATCGACCTGAGCGCCGCTTCGGAGCACACTTGGCAAGGAGCTTGCCTCGCGCTAGCCGAGCTCGCAAGGCGCGGCATGCTCAGCACGGACAGCGCCTCATCCTATATCCCTGCGGCAGCACAATACGAGCTGGACGAGCAGCTCATGTGGGTTCAACGTGCTCTTTTCTTTGACCCACGACGTGGCGCGCACAGTGTCGGGTCTGGTGTGCGCGATGCTGCGTGCTACGTCATCTGGGCTTTGGCGAGAGCAAACGACGAGAAAAGCATCCGGCCGCATGCGGATAGCTTGGCTGCCAATCTTGTTTGTGTCGCCTGCACAGACCGGGAAGTTAGCATTCGCAGAGCTGCGAGCGCAGCATTCCAAGAATGTGCCGGGCGTCTTGTAGGTCGCTTATTCTACTTACTACACAGCGTTCTCGACTTATTGTTCCTCTTAATTATGATCTTGCGCAGAATATCTTCCCACACGGCTTGGAGGTTATTCGCAAAGCGGATTTTTTCGCTGTTGGAGTTCGGAAGCAAAGCTTTCTTGATGTTCTTCCAGCAATAGCCGAGTGAGACGGTTTGCGTTCCCGACGACTGGAATTCAATCATAGCTGACGCGTATCGCTTCACAGACATGTGATCTACCGCGAGGCTCTTCTTCGACAACTTCAGCGCGTCTCGTTGGCGCATTGGGATATCAGTGTCCGCGAGGCAGCGGCGCAAGCGATCTGCAGTGTGGTCCGACATGATTTGGACAATCTGCTTATGCCGACGGTCGATGCGCTCGTGAGTTGTGATTGCGACCGATGCAGGATGTGCGCTGCTCAATCATTATGCTCCATAGCTCCAACCGTCCAAAGACCAGCCACTTGCGCATGGCCGCCTACTCGCCCTAGCGGCTCTCGGTGCATCTTTTGGAACCAACGATCCAAACGACGCATGTGGAAGGCGTGCAAAAGTGCGTGGCGCTTCAACGTCAAGACGTCATCGTACGTCATGCTAATGTCCATATCGTCTGTTCGCCAGATTCTTGAGTGCTGTCACACGGTAGCAAACACATTGAGGTCTTCTGGTATCTCTCAGCACCTTCTAGAGGCCTCATGTATTGCCGTCGCGGCGAACTTTGAGGGGTCAATAGTTGCGCACAAGGCTAAACTCCCAGATCTCGAAGACATTCTCGAGACCGCACTCGCAAGTCCGAACGGTAGTACGCATGAGTCAGCATCACAGGTGGTGAAAGCAATTGCAAGTACATATCCCTCATGGGATGTTTTCGAAAGTGTCAGGCGCCGCTGGAAGTCTTTATCCGCAAATCAGCAGCAAGGCTGGTCACTAGCATTGGGATCAATAAAACCTCTCCATGGATCAAGTTCCGTCGAAGAAATCGCTCGCTTTCTAGTCAATATTGTGACCCCTGGTAAGGAGCAATACAGCAACATCATAGAAGCTCGGAGGAATTCTTGCATTTCGGTAGCAAGATTGCTACAGCATCAAAGTTGTTCAAAAGGTGAGACGGTCTTTTACCTTGCAGTTTATGTGTTCTTCAATAACGTTCGAGCCGTTGTTGCCCCAAGACACCATTCTCGTTATCTGCACTGCGCTCATCGGCTGTTTGGAAGACTACACCGTCGACCAAAGAGGCGATGTCGGCTCTTGGGTTCGAACTGCTGCGATGCAATCACTCGCATCCATCGTCGAAGGGTGTGAGGCACGCGCGCAAACAGGATACGCCCTCCTTGATGTTCAAAGAAGCCTTCTGAAGCAAACGGCCGAAAGGATCGATTCTGTCAGGTCGTGCGCAGCGAAATCCTTGCATCGAACCGCACAAGCTACACCAATGATTCCTCGAGACAGACACATGAAGGCCCTGTTGTCAGCACTTGACGAGTGAGCCTTCGCGACCCCGTGCTCTCAGTCTCCCCAAAATAAGTTGCTCACCTGTTCTTTTCTTCAGGGCAACTGAACTCAATCTGCGCGATGCTTCGTGGCTGTTCACGCGACTAGTGTCTCTGCTCGACGATAACCGGTACCGCCGCTCACTGCTCGAAGGTTTCCTGAACAGTATTGGAAGCAAAGCAGATGTCACGGTATGCATATCTATATCGATTCGTCTTCAGGTCTGCGTGTCGTACTCACTGTTTATTCACCCATTGTTCGTGTCCGGCAGCGGCAATCCGTTGCCTCAGCGTTACACCCATGGCTTTTGGACAGTCCTATACCGCGAGCATCTCTCATATTGGTCGAGCTGCACAAGCTACTTGAGGCTAACTTTAGTTCTAACAAGATCTTTGTGCCTGTTATCGAAGCCTGCAACATTTTATTCGATACAGTCTTGGAGACGTCCACCTGGGAGCAGCTTTCTAGCTTGTGAGTTTTTCAATTCACGTTTCAGCCCTCCATCGCCTGAGCACACTGAATCTCATCTGCTGTGCAGACTTCAACCAATGTACAAGCTTGCGTTCCGAAGCGTCGACAAGATCAAATCACTTCCACGACTGCAGGCCTGCGTGGTTTTGTGAGACTGAAAGTATGATTTTCCTCAGGCTTAAAGTTCGAGATGCTGATTTTCAACTGCTCGGAATCCGCCAATCCAGGTGCGTCAATATGTTGACGAATGTGCCATCGCTGCGGCGGCGAATGGTAACGCATATCTGTGCATTTTTGCGGCATCCCTTCCCGACGGTGAGTTGCGTTGGTGCGCGCAAGCTTGCTTAGTGAGTTAAATCCGAGTCTTTCACTCTGCAGCTCCGCCAAAATGCAAGCGAACGACTCTATATGATACTCGCCGACTTCCTACCAGTTGAAGCCAGCGAGAGCAGCCTTGAGGACGCATCGATAGCGATGGCCGAAGCGGAAGAGCTGCTCCTTAACACTCCGTGGGTCTCTCAGAGCCGAACGTACCACGCTGAAGCGGCACGAAGGCTGGAGCAGGCACTGCTGAGAACGGTTGGCTTGAACAACGTGTCCTCATAATGTGCTTCCTTATGTTGACTAGCTTTTACGTGTGTATGTGTAAACAAGCAGCAGAGGACGCATGCCGCTGAAGGTAGGGAGGAGATACAGTTTCAAGAGTCTGAAACATGTTCGTTTGGTCCTCGCTGGTGCTGTTGATGTTACATTGATCAATCGCCTACGAACACATGTCCATGCCCGCGCTCTTCAAGCCTTCGCAGCCGCGGCGGCTTTCTTGGCTTTCTTGGTCTGCCTAACGGGCTGCGCGAGGAGCTCCTTGAGCTTTTCGTCCTTGACCTCCTTGTCGCTCTTGACCTTGTCCGAGCTGTACCACCCACTGGGGTTCTCGGGGCTAAGGCGGATGGCGCCCTTGTTGTTGACAGCGATGGTGAGGAAGACCTGCGCGGTGATTGCACTACTCGATCCGTCGTGCAGCACCTCGAACGGCGTGACAAGGTTGTGCGCGACGCACTCCTGCACGCCCATGCGTGCACGAGGAAGCTCCTCCACGGGCAGGATGGAGCCGATGTTGAAGGGGAACGCACCTGCCTTTTTGGCGATCTCGGAAAAGACTTTGCGCGAGGTGGCCATCTTGAGCAGGTATGTTGAGCCCGTCTTCTTGTAGATTGTCGTCGCGTGCAGGCCCGTCTTGGACTTGCCGTCGGCGGAGGTGGTGACGTGCAGGTCGATACCGTACACTTCGTCGGCTTCGAGCTTGCATGCGTCCGGGCGACTCGATGCATCTGGCGCAACGACGATCTTCTTCTTGCCGTCGATCACGTCCTTGTCCATCAGGTTCGTCTGCATCCCCTCAACGGGCCGGACACCCTCGAACTCCTTTATCGCCTGCTCAATCTGCTTGGCAACGTCGATATTCGACGCGCCCGGCTTCATCACACGTAACGCCACTTCCTCTGCCGTCTTGATCGCCTTGAGCAAGTCGGCGACTTTGCCTGTAACCGGCTCGGCCTTAGCACCCTCTGAGGCAGGGACGACGATCGTCTCGCCAATGATCGACGAGTAGCCGTCAATGTGTGCACCGAGCTGGAATTTGACCACGTCGCCGGCCTTGAGCTCTTGTTGTGCGCCTGATGCAGGGTTTGCGCTGGCAGCACTGCCGTTCTCATTCTCCTTTCCTCCCTCCTCATCTGCAGCGGCTGGCGGCGGGAGGTTAATCGGAAGCGGGCGATAGTTGCAGATGACGTTGTTGACGCAGACAGTCGTCGGGAAGGCGATACCCTTGGGCATGTTCTTCTTGTTGTTGTACACGGATGTAGCTCCTGCCAACAGCTCCTTGTCACCAGCCTCGGCGAGCGAGAGAAGCGTTGCGCCAGGGAGGGCAAGGGATACGACCTTCTTCAATGCACGCGACGAAATATCGCCGGCAGTCTTGTACTATGGGGTCCAAAAGGAGGGGGGGAAGACGATGTTTAAGACACAAGCAAGGATGCACTGCCCGAAGCATGCGAAGCACATTGCTACCTCTGTTGAAGTCGCAGGTCTCCTTTCCTTCTCCAACACGAAATCCATATTTTATACTCGCGCGCATTCGAAGTATTCCCGCAAAGCTGACAGCTTTAATGCTGCAAACTTCTTGGGACGGGTTCGCAGATACCTTTCGACGAGAACCATCACAGTGCATTGAAGAGATGTCGCGACTCTGCTCCCGCACCTGAAGCCTGGGGTATGTTTGCTTGGTACCTTTGGTTGTAATTTCCGCACAAGTACCGTGCCCTTCCATCATCTGCGATTCGAATGCGCTCATTGCAAAGCTGTCTTCCATCCAACAAGTCATGCACCCCTCAGATGTGCTGACTGAGGTAGCCTCTCCACAATCTGATGCGATAGAAGATTACTTTTCGTAAAGGGCCGCGGTGCTCACAGCCTCTGCGCTATCTTGCCACCTTCCTTCAGGCAAACTGAACTGCGACGCGTTGTTGGTATAGAGGCTCAGGACTTACTTTGGTCAATGTGACATCTGCGAAGTTCTCCTTCTGCTCAGTTGCCGCCGGAGCCGGAGCCGGGGTGGTTTCAGTTGCAGCCTCTGCCGACATGGTTGCGTTTCTTGTTGGTTGAAAGTCTGTTTAGCTGTTCAGCGGATGCTTCTCTGCAGGCTGGTTCGATGCTTTGATGAGAGCCTCAGCATTGAAAGGAGCCATCGAAGGAGTGTCTCAATGGTGTCAAGAGCAACCAAAGCAGTCAAGCGCGCCCCAGTCAATGAACAAGAAGGAAAAGCTGACTATGGCTGGGCGGAGCGGCAAAAGGAAGATCCGTGAGTGTCGTGTGTGGATAGGAGCTCGAACCCTAGCAACCCTAATCGGTGCACAACTTCCACCCCTAAAATGACAATGGGAGCGCGATGCAAGCAACTCTAAGCAAAAACGAATTGTGGCCTGGTTTTCAAGATAGAATATTAGTAAATGGGGTTCAACGCATTCACTCGATGTTATATCAGATTCCTGACCGACATAATGCACATGCGGAGTGCCGTTCGCTCCATCCTTTATGATCAGCCGTTCGTCCCCAATTCATTGTCTTGTTCAGCAAGATTGCACGAGCTAGCACGTGTGCTTGGGTCCTGTGTCGATGACCACACACCATAGTCTTGATAATGGCGTCTACCAGATCCACGCCACCCTTCCGTGCACAGTCGGGGCCGATTCCTGTCGGACAATCTGCGCATCTACTTGACTGCGTTCAGGATGACAGGGTTAGACGCCCGCCGATTCCTTCTCCAGATTGGTTTGATGACATCCTGTGTGATTCTCTCAGAGTGTCACTGCGCACACCCTTCGATGCACAGCTCGCGAGGTGCAATCCCTACTTCGCTCCGCAGACACGTGACCAACACCGCAACACGTGCCCCTACTATTTAGTTCCCTGAGCGGTGACTGTTATTGCCAACGAAGTCATGAGTGCAGGTGAAACGACATCACACATCATCACCTCCATCCTCCCCCGTACGTTCTCACTTCCATTCCTCTTGATCGAAGCTCATTATACTTTCAGAAGCTCTCTAGGGGATGCACCCAAGACTCGAAGCAGGAACAACTCTAAGCTTATTACTTTCCAAAACAGCACGCCAGGCATCAACTGTAACAGCATGGCCAGCTCTGGGACGATGAAGGCAGTTGTCTTCAAGGGGCCGAACCACGTAGTCGTGGAGCAACGGCCCATCCCACAGGTCCAAGATGATACCGATGCTGTGGTCAAGGTGTGTGGTAATGGTTAGAGAGAATACTAGATTACTCTCAATGACAGTGAGTTGGCTTGTGCTCGTGCCTGCACAGGTGGTCACGTCGGGGCTTTGCGGCTCTGACTTGCACATATGTGCGTACATCGTCCGAGAAGTTAAGGGAAGCACCAATCTGAAATGGGCTGACAAAACTCATTTATTTATTTATTTCGTAGATCGTGGCCACCAGCCCGTATCGCACCACGACTTTATCCTCGGGCACGAGTTCGTCGGCACGATCCACAAGGTCGGTCCAGGCGTCAAATCATTCAAAGAGGGTGACCTGGTCTTGTCCCCGTTCACCATTTCTTGCGGTGACTGCTTCTATTGTACACGGAGCCAAACGGGTCGCTGCGTCAGGTCGAAGGTGTTCGGCTCCGTGCCCTTGGAAGGTGCACAGGCGGAGTATGTACTCGTCCCACTCGCAGAGACGAGTTTGTACCACGCGCCGCAGGATGTGCCGAAGGAGCTGCTTGTGCTGCTCGCAGACATTGTGCCGACAGGCTACTTTGCATGCAAGAACGCGTGGGACCGTCTAAGCGATGAGGAGCGCAAAGATGCGACGTGCGTAGTCATCGGAAACGGACCCGTCGGGTTGTGCGCTGTCTCGGCCGCCGCGGCGCTGCCGTTCAAGCGCATCTTTGCCGTCGATTCGATCCCACAGCGCCTCGAGCAAGCCAAGAAGCATGGCGCGCACCAGTCAATCAACTTCCAGAGTGAGGACGTCGATATGATTATTAAAGGAGCCACGGGCGGACGGGGTGCAGATGTCATCCTCGAAGTCGTTGGAGCTGAGGCGGCGCTGCAGATGGCCATCAAACTCGCGCGGCCTTTCGGTGTCATTTCCTCCGTCGGGGTTCACACGCACAGCGTCACGCTCAGCGGGCCTGACCTGTACAACAAGAACTTGCGACTCAGCTTCGGCCGCTGCCCGGTTCGTGCAGTCTTTGTGCCCGCGCTCAAGCTGCTCCAAGACAACGTCGACCTGTTCAAGAACTTTGTACAACATGTCATCCCGATCGACAGTGCGACTGAGTACTACAAGTAAGTGTTGCTGAACTCGGAATCACAGCTTGACATTCATGTATTTCCAAAATTTGCTTTGCGCAGACTGTTTAACGAAGGCAAAATTCTCAAGACGGTTTTTGAATTCAAGTAACTTTCATATGCGTCTCCCAACCACAAATGACAAGGAGTTTCAAATCTCCAAAATGCACCACAATGAAATACTTTGTTGCCACTAAGAAAACAGTATTAGGAGACGAGCGCTTGCATGGCGCGCAGAAATCACCAGTGTGACATGCCTTTCAAAAGGACACTTGCATTGGCAAGATTGTGCGGGTGCCGGCAAGCAGGTTTGATAGAAGGTAACACGCCTACTTCCCACCGCTACTCTTCTTTACCCGCGCCTTCTTCTCCTTCTTCGGCATCTTGTTTTTGCGCTTCTCTCGCGCCGCCTCTTTCACAGCCTTCTTTCTCCCCTTCTTCGCGTCCCGGTCTTCGTGTCTGTGCCCGCGTGGCTGGCGCGGGCCTTCTTCCTTGCTGTCTTCTCGCGAGGAGCCCTGAGAGTCTCCGTCAGAATCTGATTCTGTGTCGGAGTTTGCATCTGCGCCTTCGTCAGCCGGTCCCGATTGAGTACCACCCGCCTCAAAATTAGCTTGTGTCATCCTCGAGCTTTGCTGCGCCACCCCACCATCAGCCGTTCGCACAGCAGGGAGGCGATCCATACCCGTCGCCGTAGCGTAGATCAGCTCCCCTGCACCTTTTTTGGTGTACACCTCGACGTCACGTTCGGGGTCGTAGACCTCGTTGAGCGTACGTGGAATATAAGACTGCGCAAAAATGGCCTCTTCATTTGCGGTTAGTGCGGGTGGCGGTTGGGCGCTCCCTTGATGTGATGTCGATGGATGGGAGGTCGATTCGGAGGAAGACACGTTCTGCGCGGACTCTCCCTCTTGCTGCACATCTCGCGCATCCATCATCTCTCTGATCACTTGCATCAGCTCCAGCTCATGTTCTGATTTGATCACTGGCACAGTGGATTTGGCTTGTACCACAACTGCTGTAGTTGCCGCCGCGGCGGAAGTATCAGCTCGTTGATGCCGATCTGCTGCATTTCCATCCTTGGACTTGTGCAAGGAGTCCAGCAGCGCTTCTTCGTCCGCCTCGCCTCCTTCCATCATCTGGGCTAGTCCTGCTTTCCCGCCTTTGCGAGCGCCACTTCGCCGCTCATCTCTCTCGTCTGTCGCCGAATTTATTCTCCCGACCTCTGAAGCAGCATGCGTGCTGCTACCGGAGGCCGTCTCGCCTTCGCGGATAATGAACTCGAAGCTGCGGCGCAGTCCGAGCGTATGCACGCCGTGCTTGGAAAAGTAGTCGTCAACGTGCTGCAAATCTGCGCGCAGGAAGTCGAATGCGCGCGGGTGGTCGTGCTCTACTGATTGAGACACGTCGATGATGTAGAGATGCTGGTTGTGGTAGCTGTCATGAACATTAACAGTTCATTTTCAGCGACGAGCCATCAAGGCTAGCTGCGAGTTTCTGTCAAACTCACAGAACGTTATACTCGCTCAAGTCCGCATGCACCAGCCTGCAATGCTGGTACATGATCCGCATAGCCGCCAAGAGCTCCCGGTAGAGTTCCTCCCACCTCCCTTGCTTTTGCTCCTCCTCGGCATCAATGCTACTTTCAGCGTCTCTCAGTCGTGGGCTCGCCCAGCCATCTACCTTTCCGAGGAATTCCATGACCAGCACATGGTCCCTCAGCTCCTCCACTTTGGGGCTGCGAATGCCAGCCGCATACAATCGTTTGAGGTTCCTTGCCTCTTTTTCTGCCCAGAGGCGAACCATCTTGCGAGGGTTGTGGCGGCTGTAGCCGTGTCGAAAGCGAAACTCGCCGCTAACGTAGCGATCGCGGTCCTTGAAGACAAGAATGGACGTCTTGTAGATCTTCAGCGCCAGGCTGCCCGGCGGGGTGCCTTCCGGCGAGCCTTCAGGCACTGAAGTAAAGGCGTGGTAGACATTCGCCTCTTTGCCAGTAGAGATGACGCCGTTGATGGTTTCCAAAAGCCCACGTTGAACCATCTTGAAAAGGATAAGCATGGTCCTCGGATCAAGAACTTGCTGGTTCGTCGCCCGATCGCTCTTGTCCTTCACCCGCGCGTGTCCTTCGCCAATTGCCTTGCGTGGTACCACAGATGCACCTAGACGGCCGCCGACAGATAAAGAAGGGTCGTATCTCTCCTGCAAGGAAAGTCGGGCGCTGAAGCGGGCGGATAGTTGAGCGAGTTGCGCAGACGTCTTGTCCTTGTGCTGGGCAACTTGCACAGCAGCGGAAGAAGCACCGCCGGTAGCAGCATCCCCGGCAATAATTTCAGTAGCAATATCTTTTGCGGCGCGTAAAGGTGCAGGGCGGCGATTCATGGCTGGTAGAGCTCCAGTCGTTGAAGCACCATGATGCCATGTGGTCCCGCGAAGCACGGCGTCCGCTTGTCGTGAGCGGTTGAAGGCCTTTGTGAAGTCACCTCTTGACAATTCCCAGTCTGCATCCTCCACACGGCCCATCGCCTCCTCTTCTCTCGCTTCTTCTACCTCGTCTTCCTCTTCTTCATCGTTCGAATGCCGGGTCCGGAGGTACTCGAAGTATTCGCGGACTTTTTCGCTCTCGTATCCTTCGCCATCATCGCTATCGTCCTCGTCTTGTGAATCGGAAAGGTCTGGATCCGCGAGCTGGGCCGACTCCAGATTTTCCGAGGTGCCATTTACACCATTGGAGTACAGACCGGGTTTAACCTGCTGGCCAGGAAGTGATGAAAAGCCCACATCCTCCGGCGCATCGTCGAATTCCCCGCCTGCCTCTGTCACAGCCGCTGCGGTCGACATCTTTGCGGAATGGGATCTTGGTCTCTTCTAGTCAGCAAAATGGAAATTACGGACACGAAAGAGACAGAGGCGCCTCGCGCGGTTCCGGCCAGGTCGCACTGTAGGTCCGCAGGGGGATGGCCAACGACGCAGGTGTGGAGTGTGTCGTGCTCTGCATACGTGACTTTTGTTGGTAAGCAGAATGAAACCAAATTGCATTCCGTTAGTCGCCGACTCTTTGCAGCAACTCCCAAGAAGTGTTCTCCCAAACACGGAACTCGGATTTCGATAAGCTCTCAACCCCAAGAAAGAATGCCCTCAAAAAGAAAGAAAGAGCGGAATTGGGAGTTGGAACGCTTCGAAGCTCAGACTCACACCCTTTCGATGGAATGGCATTGCATGTCGCCAGGCGATGATCACTTCACGTGCGCATCCCCAGAGGCCCCTGACACTGCTTCGATCGACTGGTCCCCGCCGCGACTCTGATTGTATCGCAGCTCACTCGAAATATGGCTGACCTATCAACAGCGCCTGGCGCTTCACCAGGAACCGTAGCAGAAGCGCATGACTCTCCTTCCCGTGCTTTCTATCCCGAAGCGGTGCAGCACAACGTCAAGCAGATTTCCTAGTGAGTGTCAGCCATTGGGCGCTTCGCTTCTTCCATTCCGGAGGCGCCAACCAGGAGTGATAGCCAATTGGTTCCGGAAGAGTGAGAGGCGTCGATGCGGACGACACGCTGACGTACTTTTCACACCTATGCACGCTCCTCTGCCTTTGTTTCGCCTTGCAGCATCCGTTCAATATCCCTCTCACTTGCTGGTAGTGCTTCCGGCGTCCTGGGCCTCACAAATCTCAATGGCTTCTACTTCTACATCATCTCGCAGTTGCTCATTTCCCTCTGCATTCTGTTCATCAACGCTAAAGGGCAACCCACCGCGTACCTCGTCGATGCTGCAGTGATCGACCTTCAACGCAAGCGTGCGCGGGTGCATGCCGCTATGGAGGCCAAATCTGGGGGAGGTGAGAAGGCGAAAGGGAGGTCAAGTCAGGCGCAAGGATTCCGGCAAGGACAGGGCCCGCCTGGCCTCGTTGGGACGGCTTGGATGTGGATTAATCTGCTGCTTGTGGATGGCGCGCAAGATAATGTGCTGAGCTATGTGCTCTGGTGGACATTTTGGTACGGAATTGTACATGTGTATGATTGATTCGAATGTATTAACGATGCAGATTTTGTGGAATGAGCTGCATATTGGAACCTCCTACTGCTGAGCGGCTGTCTGGTGGGACACCGGGAACAAACACGCAGTTACGACTTGGAGATAATAAAGGCCACAATGTGACAGCCGGAAGCCAAAATTGGCTTGGCCTCGTGGTGACTGCGCAAATGTTAGCTCTCTATATAGAGACAATTGCTCGAATACTACGCAAAATATATCCCTCATACATTCCCAACCTACCAGGTTTGATGCGTCTTGCGTCGTACGTGTTCTGAACATCTCTTTTGACTTTGCGATACAACTCTGCGGTGCATGCACAAACGATCATCGGTAGCGAATCCATGATGATCGGGAGATTGTACGGTCCGTCGGAAGACGCATCCAAGACATGGCGAGTGAGCGTGCTTGGGTCATGCTGCTGCGAATCACTTCTACTCTGAGAGTCCCTGATGGTGCCTTCCTCAGACCTTGGTGGTAGCACGGCTTTTGCAGCTCGAGATTGAATTCGTCAAGACTTCCAAGACGGGAGAGAGCAAGTCAGATGAATACAAGGCGAAATTCCCCATGGCCAAGGTGCGGACAGCCCTGCTTAATCCTCACCATATGCATGGTTCATGAGTGAATTAGTGCAGACTGATGTCCGCTTTTCGCTCACAGGTGCCCGCCTTTGAAGGAGCGGACGGTTTGCTGCTCACAGAAAGTAGGGCGATTGCCCGTTACGGTGCGCCGATAGTGCTAGGAGCTTCAAAGCGTGGACTTTTAAACTGACCTCACTCTTCTCACTCTTAGTAGCAAGTCTCGGAAACCTTCCTGATGGAAGTGGCAGCCTTCTCGGAGACACACCGCACAAAGCAGCGCTCGTAGATCAATGGCTCCAATTCAGCGATGACGAGTTGTTCAACAACACAACTGCAATCACCGCTTCAAAGTGGGGGGCACCATTCGATGTTCGCCGTGAGGCGTTCCATTGGTGGGGTTTGCGCCGTGCGCTGACTTGCCTGGATGGGCATATGCAAAAACCACATACTGAACACGGTGCCAACGACGCATCCAATTTTCTAGTTGGCAACCATATCACACTGGCGGACGTGTCTGTCTTTGGGAATGTCCACATGGCCTTCAGAGACGTGGCGGGCAAAGAGACACGCGATGCATTCCCGTCGCTCATGCGGTGGTATGACCAGATTCGCAATCATCCTTTAGTTGCTCAGATGGTACGGGATGAATCCTGGCAACAGTATGATTACCACTTCAATGTGGGAGGTGCAAAACCGTCATAGAACGAATCAATTGTGCGGATCGGGGCAATCTAATGCATTCAAGGTGCCTCTCCTATGGCGTGCTATGCCTCTGTGCCGGGCACTTCGGCCCTTGCTAAATCGCCAAAGTAGCACGTGAGCGCGCACAGCTTGTGGCCCATCCATTCCTCTTCCACATCGACGTCGACCATTGTCTCAGCAGAGGTGGCAGCAGCAGCAGCGGCGGTAGGGATGCCATCGCTCGTTCGAAATATCCCGCGCGAAGATGGTCGCTTCGAGGCGACATCCTTGGCGATGTCGGAGATCTGCTGCAGCGATGTGTTGCGCGGGACGTAAAGCGCAATATTGGTAGTTTCGAAAGCTTCTGCGCAGAGATTAACGAGCTCTCTACCCGACATAGGCGCGAGTGAATCGAGCGAGTATGTGTCTGTGTATGTATCCACTGTTGCAGATGCTGTAGACGCGTGAGCCCCGCTGCTGCCTTGCGCGTCTGCGTGGAGTAGTGATGGCTGTTGGTAGTTGATGCCGCCCCACGGTGGAGACTGCCATTTGCATGATTCCATGGGAGACCGATTCAGCCACGTCCCTTCCTTTGCCAAAATGGTAATGGCGGAGGTTCTGCGACCATACTCACCAGGAAGATGCTATACCGTGGTACACGCGCAAAATCGGATGAGTCAAGGCGGTCAAACTTTAATGTTTCCCTTTTTGATGACAGACGCGAACCAGAGCTTACAGATCAAAAACGCGTCGGAAGTCAAGGAGCTCCTCGGGTATGAGGCTCTTCCCTTGCTCCGAAAGCGTTTGTGACTTGTCTTTCCTATTTGCAGCCGCACATCTCCGTGCAACGTCAGGAAAGTCATAGCACCAAAAGGTGATGCGATGCGCGACGCCGTAGATTTTAGCTGCGCGAACGCGCGCAGCATTCAAGACAAATATGAGACAGGTCTGCTCACGCGCGCCGACTGTTTCCCCAGACTCACCATTGTGCTGCGCTAGTTCCAGCTTGACTGGGTCAACGTCAATCGCATGTACATGGTCGAAGAGCATGGCCAGCTGTATGGTGTTGCCGCCTGCGCCGCAGAACGCATCAAGTGCCACAAGCTGCGTCTCTTTCGACCGGAGAAGGCTCCTTTTGCTTTTTGCAATGATCTTCCCTTGCATCGTCTGCCATCGGGGGGCGGATGAGAGGGTATGGTGACAGCGCCACGCGATGCGGTGAGCGATCGCTTCAGGCGTGACACTCCACCAACTTTGCTCATCGAGTAAGATGCCGTCGTCGTACGCACTGAAGAGATCGTAGCGCTTGTGCCAGTCTGTGTAGAAGCCGCAGCGCGAGCAAGCAAGAAATTAGGACAGCGATACCAAACACATCCTAGTCAGTAATTGGGCAAATTCGCTTGCAGTTGAGCCAAGGGCAAAGAAAAGGGAGAAACGTACATTTTTGCAGAGCGCCTCGTAAATCTGACCGTTTGGTGAGAGCCATGGTGCGCCACCACCTGTGTTCTGGAGGGTATTGCCCACCGTGCAGCGCTTGTCCCTTTCCTTTCTTCTTGCTTTTGTTGTTCCTGTTGGCGCTGCCGGTAATGGTGTCCCCAGTAGCATAGGGGGGTGCAGAGCGTACGAGCTCATGCACCGTCGAAGGCCCTGTAACGGCATTCGGGGAGCCCCGGCTTTGTTCTGACGATCGCGTACCAGAGCCGTCTGAATTGGCTCTTGATCCTGAAAAGGTTTCAGGAAAGGGCTCAGGGTCATCCGCTGACTTGAGCTCGGGTATGGCTAAGCGCCGTACTTCCCTGGAGCGGCACTTGGTGGCTGTCCGGGGAGTTTCCATGTTGTATGTGCTTTGCTGTCCTGCACCGCCTGTGGTATTCTCGCAATCAGACGAGTTGGCTAACCCGAAGCTGGCTTGCACATGTGCGAGGACCTTGTGGCTTCCGAATTGCATTGGAAGACCGTAAGCGGCCATATCTGCTAGGGATTCACTGCTTTCCGTGTTTAAGGCGGTGCTCATATGTGCATCTGCGGATGAAACGATCGGGTCTGCGCCTTTTCCAGACCCACTTGCTCCTGTTTGGGGCCACTGCAACTGTGTACTCTTTGGGCGACTGGTGAAACCGGCAATCCTGCTGCTTTCCTCCGTTCCAGTAGACGGCAAGTTGTCGGCCGTCAGGCTAGGTGCCTGTTCATGGAAATCCTTTGCGTGAGGATCGTGCCGAATGCGCTTGAGAAGGGTAGAAATGAGAGACGCTTGGTGAGTCATCGCAGCATGTTTACGTCTCGCCGTCACTGATGAGGAGGGCCGTCGAGTTGAGACTGGCATATTGGAGCAACACGGTCGCACCGACGTTCGGTTGCAGATCCCTCTTCTCGATACCTTGAATTGTCTGCCGGGCGGAGTTTCCATGCCAGGGTGCTTGTACGAGATGTCGGCCAGCAAGTCTTTTGCAAGCCTGAGACGCCTGACGTAGACCTCCTGTTGCTACCGTCGGTGCTCACAGTGGACCAGCTCCCAGAGGTGCAGAGGCACTTTGCTAAAGCAGGGGATATTGGCTAGATTCATAAAACTCTGAGGATTTCAGGTGCATTTAGCATATTCGAGCATGAGTGATACGAGGTGACGGAGACGCTGGTGAGGATATGTTCATGGTGGGGGCCCATGAGGCGGCAGGGCTGAATGCATGTCATGTGCGCCTCTCCGTTTTTCACAAAGCTCCGAAACGATTCTTTTTATGCTTCCTTTAGAGTCAAAAAGAATGAGGTCTGTAAGGTTGGGTTGCACCGATTGATACGTGCTGCGCGAGGGAACCTACGGGAAAGTGACGCGACGCGCACCGCCAACATCTGAGGGGGAGAGACGCGACGCGACGCGTTCCTCCAATGCGACCCGCGCCAGCGTCGTGGAGAACATCAACTCACTCCGTAGCTTCTGATTCATATACGTCGCAGTCTACTCATTTTACCTCGCCCATCAAGACAGATCTGTGCCTTTTCCTCTCTTATTTCATCTGGCGCACAGGTGCAGACGCCACAACGTGAAGGTTCCATCCCTCAGATCGCATCTTCAGCCGCATCGAACAGCAGTCTCATCCGACGCGGAAGCCGGGCGACGCTTAGTCCCGAAAACGAAGCACGTTTCTGCCAGACCTACAGACGAACACTACACGCTGAAGAGCTCGCAAGATGGCGACCAATGGCATCCTTCCCGTAATAAATATCAACGTCAACTACGAGGAGGAGAAGGGTGAGTTAAATCCCATTGGGGCTACCAGCACCGGCTGTTCGGCCGCTGGTTTCGGCCGGAGTTGCCTCCCTCCATGGTGTCAACTGCAAGAAGAGCGGTTCTGCGTGATCCTCGCAGATCCGATTGGATACTGACTTCGACCACATCACACAGAGAAAATTTCCCAGTTCCTCACAGCGTTCCAATGTGACCGCTCTGTTCTGAACCGATACGACAGCAAAGGGGCGCTTGTCTCGCAAGTGCGATCCGAGTCCGCTTCTCCTGGTCTTGAAAATGACGTCGACGGCCTCAACGTCCGTGATGAAGCAGAACACAGTGCCGAAGATTCGGAAAATGACGAGGACGAGCGGGCCGTAAGGCGGGCTCGAGGCAGCAGAGCCGTGACGAGACGCGCGGCAACACGAGGTTCGGTGCTTGTCGCCAAGTACATCACATTGCTGGTGAGCGCACCAGCCAGTCACTCAGCCAGCAGCAGATTTCGAAGAGCTGTGGAATTCATCTCATCCCGACCTGACTTTTGCTTCTTCCCAGCAACGCATTGCCAATCGGGATCTAGACACGCTCGTCATTGACTTGAACGACCTTGCCAGCGTACGTCAGATTATCTTTCCCTTATTCGACAACCTCCAGCCCTCACACTACTTTTCTCTTCACAGTTTTCCGCCAACGGACAGAAGACTTTTGGTGCCGAGCTGGTGCAGAGCATCAAAGCCAACACGCGTCGCTACGTCTCGCTCTTCTGCAACGTGGTCGATAGATTGCTCGAAGAAAAGGTCTTCCCCACCAAGGACATCTCTGATAAGGACGATGTCCTCGATGTCATTATGGCTCAGCGCAGGGCGCAGAACGAAAAGGACCGCGATCAGAGACGCAGAGAGCGCGAGGGCATGATGGGCAACACTGCCGGTGATGCAGACGACCTGGAGGGCGCGGAGGAGGAAGTCAAATTCCCTCCCGTTCTCCTGAGACGATAGTGCGTGTCTGCCACACAAGTGAGCTTTTGAGTGTTTTCTGACTTCTTTCGGATATCTTATCTTGGCAGTGACCTCTACTTTGCGCCTCAGCGTCACGACAAGCCGCTCGCCGTCCGGCAAGTCCACGGCTCGCACCTGGGAAAATTCATCACCGTTCGCGGGATTATCACGCGCGTGTCAGAAGTCAAGCCATTCCTGCAAGTGGAAGCGGTCGCATGCGACGTGTGTGGCGCAGAGATTTTCACCGAGGTCATGGGTAGGCAATATATACCAACAGAGTTCTGCACCTCTCGCACATGCACCACCAACAAGGTCAAGAGTCCCGTATTCCCGCAGAACAGAGCGAGCAAATTTGTTCCGTTCCAGGAGGTCAAGATTCAGGAGATGGTGCGTTCCGCAATGCAAGGTGTGATGTGGACAGGGAGTGCTGATGCGGCGGCGTGTTGATATACAGGCCGACCAAGTCCCAGTCGGGCACATTCCACGAACGATGACCATCCACCTGAATGGGACGCTCACCCGTGCCTTGAGCCCAGGCGATGTCGTTGAGACTGGTGGCATTTTCCTTCCGATGCCATACAGCGGCTTCAAGGCAATCCGCGCAGGCCTACTCACTGACACCTTCCTCGAGGCGCACAACGTGCATCAGCTCAAGAAGCAGTACGAGGCGATGGAGCTCACGCCCGAGATTCGTCAGCGCATCTCAGACCTCAAAGGGGACCCTGCGCTGTACAACAAGCTCGCCTCTTCCATCGCGCCGGAAATCTACGGACACGAAGACGTCAAGAAGGCCTTACTCCTGCTCCTTGTTGGCGGCGTCACCAAGAACATAGCCGATGGCATGCGCATCAGGGGTGACATCAACATTTGCCTCATGGGCGATCCGGGTGTGGCCAAGTCACAGCTGCTCAAATATATCTCCAAGGTCGCTCCGCGCGGCGTCTACACAACCGGTCGAGGATCCTCCGGCGTTGGTTTGACCGCGGCAGTTATGCGCGATCCCGTCACGGAGGAGATGGTGCTCGAGGGAGGTGCGCTCGTACTTGCTGACAACGGTATCGCTTGCATCGATGAGTTTGACAAGATGGACGAATCCGATCGCACCGCCATTCACGAAGTCATGGAGCAGCAGACAATCAGCATCAGCAAAGCCGGTATCACGACTACTCTCAATGCGCGCACATCGATTCTCGCAGCAGCCAACCCGCTGTATGGAAGATACAATCCGCGCATCTCGCCCGTCGACAACATCAACTTGCCAGCCGCGCTGCTTTCGCGTTTCGACATACTCTTTCTTATCCTAGATACCCCTGCGCGCGACGACGATGAGCGACTCGCACAGCACGTCACGTACGTGCACATGTTCAACGAGCACCCGGAGCTCAGCGTTGAGCCGCTTGATCCGATCCTCATGCGTCACTACATTGCGCTCGCGCGGCAGAAGCGGCCCGTAATCTCGAAGGCCGTCTCCGACTACGTCGTCGGGTCGTACGTCAAGCTGCGCGGCCAGCACAAAGAGGACGAGGCGCGTGACCAGGCGTTCACGTACACCTCAGCGAGGACACTACTCGGTATCCTTCGTCTGTCACAAGCGCTAGCTCGGCTCCGTTTTGACGACATCGTGGACGTTGCCGACGTCGATGAGGCGCTGCGCCTGATGGAAGTCAGCAAGGCCAGCCTGCACCATAGCGGTCGCGGTCACGAGGGCGTCGGCCAGGACCACAGCCACCTCAGCAAGATCTACCGCATCATCCGTGAGATGGCGTTCGCAGCAGGTGAGGCCGAGGCAGACGACTACACGAGCAGCAGCAAGTCGCAGCGTTTCGGTCACGGCCCGGATGGTGAGCGCGGCGGCGATGCGATGGACCTCGATGAAGTTGATGATCGCCTGCCTGCAGCCAATAAGAAGCAGAAGGGATCGACGACAGCGGGGCTCGGCGAGCTGGACATGCGCGACGTACGCGACCGCATCATCGCCAGCGGTTGGGTTGAGGACCAGTTGACTGACTGCCTCGAAGAGTACAGCGACCTCGGTGTCATCCAGATCACTGACGACCAAAAACTGATTTTCCTGTAGCCACCACTTCACTAATCTCGGTTTCGGCTGAGCGTTGCCATTGTACTATAGTGTGAATTACCTTGTTCTGCATGCAGTGAAACCTATTTGAAGACGAAGGAAATTGGCAGCAATCTGTTTTCGAACGAAACTAACTTATGGAGCTTTTTGCTGTTTGCAGAAGAGGCATACCGATGGCCAGCTCGTCGACTGCCCGTGTGGGTCGCTATCTTCTGCCGACATATGCTGGACTCTACGCAACGTAGCAGCTCGCTCTTTGAGGCCGAGGGGGTCATTGACTGAGAGCATACTTGCAAGTACAGAGCTTTGAGAGATCGTCTGACGTTTGCCACCAACCTTTGGCTTGGCAGCTCCCGGTTGGGGTCAAAAGGCCGTTCACCTCCACTGCGGCGCTATCTACCAACTACGTACACCCTGAGGGAGTCCTGGGTGGTAGTTATGCGAGAAAGTGGCCCAGGCAAGAGGCGAAGCGATTGAGAGCGAGACATTCTAAAATCACAGTCAGACCGCGATGAGCTGTTGATGACTCGGAAAAGAAGTTGAAACGCGTCGAGGTCATGAGAGGCATATTGAAACTTGGGACAGCGCCATATGGATATCCATCACGATCCATCTTCGCTGAAGTTGTGTTATACAAGTCAGTATTCGCAGCGTAGAGCAAAGGTACAAGCTTCAGAAAGCAAAGTGCTTGCGTGAATCGAGGGACTGTAAGGAGAAGAAGCAACGATGAACGTGGATCCCCTTCAGACGGAACCGCCGACCACAGGCAAGATCAAGCTGCGGACTTCGATGGGGGATGTGACTATCGCACTTTGGTCCAAAGAGGCACCCCTCGCTTGCCGCAACATTGTTCAGGTGAGCATACTGAGAGTGAAATGTCTTCTAGGCAAAGCGAGCTGCTGACACTTGCGCTCTCATTCGATGGTGTGCGAATTGCATCAGCTCGCGCTCGAAGGCTACTATGAGGACCAGATATTTCATCGCATCCTCCCCGGCTTCATTGTCCAGACTGGTGATCCAACAGGCACCGGTCGTGGAGGATCTTCGATCTTTGAAAGTGAAGATAATCCAGAAGGGGAATTCAAAGACGAGCACCATCATCGCTTGAAGATGACGAAACGAGGTTTGGTCGCCATGGCCAATGCTGGCAGGCCCCATTCCAATGAGTCGCAATTTTTCATCACGTTGGGGCCGACACCAGAGCTGCAAGGTCGGCATACTATTTTTGGAAAGGTGGAAGGACCAGGGATCTACACCATCCTCTCCATTAGCGAGGTCGAGTTGGAAGATAAGGAGGTTGGACGACCGAGACACCCGCCTAAGTTGCTGGGCATCGACGTAATCCAGAACCCGTTTGATGACATTGTCCCGCGGATAACAATAGCGGAGAAGCGTGCTCAGCTAGAGCGTGCGCGACGAGAGAAGCAGGAATTGAAGGAGAAGAAGCGAAGAGCAGCGCTTGAAGGCGACAACGCGAGGGGCCGCAAGAAGAAGAACGCGACGTTGTTGAGTTTTGGTGAGGCTGAAGAGGCGAGTGAGGAAGGCGCAACCGCCGCCAAACTCAACAAGAAGGTAATGAGCAGCTTTGATGCTCTTGGAGCAGGGCCATCAGGCGAACCTTCTGGCAGCTCACAAGCAAGAGCGAAGAGCTCTGCGAAGAGCAACAAGCTTACGCCTCGGGCCAGCTCTTCAAAAGAGTCGAATGGAACCCATCTTCCCGATCTTGCGCATTTGCGCATGGCTCACCAGTCATTAAGCTCAAGAGAAATACAAGAGAAGCAGGTCAAAGCATTGGAAGCCGCGATTCACGATCAAGCTCGTCCTCGGCCGACCTTACCTTCGTCAGACAAAGGAAAGGAAAAAGAGAAGCAAAGTGCAGGAAGGGCGTGGCTCGAAGAGCAGCGGGACAAGTACTCGGCTAACAGAGAAAGGGGCAGGAAGGGGGACGATCGTGATGCGATTGCTCGGCTCGAAGCTTTCCGTTCGAAACTGGCAAGGATGGGAGCTGAAGAGGGAAATACTACTGACGCAACTAGAACGGAGACCAAGAGAAAAAGCGAAGCCCTCGTCGCTGATGAAGAGATTTTCCCCGAGATGCGCGAGTACGGCATGTCAAATACAGAAGACGACGATGATAACTGGGCTACCTTCCGCGCACATCGTTTCCAGGCGGCCAAGAAGGGCGACGAGGAGTACGAGAAGGAGAAGTTTAGCGTCGAAGACTATGAAGTCATCGACCCGCGCAGTGCTGCTGCAGTGCGCTTAGGCTTCGGCGGGAAAGAGGGTGCAAGGAGGCTGCGAGAGGAGACGAAGCGCGAAGGCAAACGCGGACGCGACTGGGAAGACCTGGACTCAAGAAAGTATCGGTCGGGCGAGAAGCGGAGGCGTTCAAAACCATCAGAGCGAGATGCTCACCACCTTCCAGATGGCCGTGGCGCTTATTGAGGGAATGATCCCGCGTCCGCCAAGCACCGATGGTTTGGAAATCACTTTTGCAATCTCGTGTATTTGATCATTTTTCTGGCGCATGCAAGAGTGGACTACGCGCTTGCGTCCCTTTGCAGAGATCCATGCTGGCGAGTCAATCAGGGAAGCTGAGGTGGAATTCGAAACAATTACAGCACCTTGGCCCCTCAAGCGGATGACTTGAAGAAGGGCTTCTCTGCGGCTGGTGTAATGCGAGCACCGTGGCGCCTGCCGGTTTCGCCAGTGAAGTCCACGATGGGCGTGTGCAGAGTCCTGCGGTTGTCGAAGAGCGCAACGGAGCCCTTCTGCCAACGGACACGGACCTGCGCATCTACCGCATCGGCATTGAGACGGAAGAGGACGTCGAGAAGCGCGTCGCTCTCCTCCTTCTTCAAGCCGTTGATCTTGGTCGTGAAGCCCTTGTTGACGTAGAGCGATTGGCGTCCCGTGACAGGGTGTGTTCGCACTATCGGGTGACTGTGCGAGACGGGCAGGCGCTTGGCGACGCCCTGGCCGCCCTTCTTGGCGTTTTCAGATTGCTCATAGCCCGAGTGCTCGGCTGTGAGGGTCTCGAGCAGAGCTCGCAGTGGCGGCGACAGGCGTCGGAGAAGCTCTTCACTGTCGGCGAAGAGCGTGTCGCCGCCGCTTGGAGGTGTGTCGAAGAGGAAAAGGACGGTCAGACCGGGCGGCTGCGCTTCGTAGGATACATCCGAGTGCCAAACGGTCGGGATGTAGTTCAGGCGCTTTTCATAGTTACTGATGAGCGCGTGCAAACAGAGGGGAAAGAGAAGCGTTAGTCAAAGAATATATTTATCAGATGGCAACCGGGAGCAGGCCCACTTGAGCTCTACCTTGGCCGACTTGTAGATCAAGTGGAATTCCGAGTGCTCGCGCGGCTGGCCGGACACCTGATGCTGATGCAGCCTTGCGCTGTAATGTCTGCCAAAGTCCTTGAGTTGCTCCGGTGTCTGGTCTATAAAACCCTGCTGGTCCTGAAGGATGACGACGCCACGCTCGGCAACAAAGAGTGCCAGCTCATCCTTTTCGTCCAACGTCAGCTTGGCCAGGTCGAGGCCCTTTACGACGGAGCCGAAGCGCGGGGAAAGCTCGTCAATGTTGGAGGCGTTCTTAAGAAATGCTCGGGGGTCTGGGTGCTTCAAGGCACGAAGGCCGACATCCGAGCTGAAAAGACGTCGAGGATTCCGAACTAAATGTCAGGACTGCGTTTTCGCCCACGAGGGTGAGATTGCAACAATTTAAGGCACTAACTGCTCGAATGGTTCGTAAGGTGGGTCCTTCAAGTCGTCACTCTTGTACCTCTCGTCGAACCAAGGAAGCGCCCACCTATACTTATAGTTAGGGTCCCAGTCGAGAGGCTGCTTGTTAGCGCTAGCTCGGGCAAGCTCATCGAGCTCTTGCGCTTTGTGGTGGTCATTGACCGAAGCGATATCACCCTTGCGAGCGAAGGACTTGACCGCCACGGGCTCAGTCTCCGTCGTGACGGGGGGAAGTGTCGACGGCTACAGGCGCCATATTGAATTCAGTGGAAACAGTGGGATTTGTGGGTATATGCGGAGATTATTACTCGATAGTTGGGTTGATGCAGAAGCATTCAACAAAAAGTAGCGATGCGGGGTGCATATTTGGGTCTTTATACCTCGCCAACAGTGCAGGCACTACTTCCAATGATTTGCAAAGTTCGAAGATGGTGTCTCCCTTTTCCTCATTTTACAAGCGAGCCGATAATGCACGATGTGGACGCTGCCTGCTTGGGGAGATAGGGTGAGCGTACGGCTTGCGCAATTTAGGCACAAGAGTGGGGGAGGGTGAGATGGTAACCACAAGCGGCAACCTTGCTGTCTTGGTTCTGGGGCTTTGCGCCTAGATTAGTGAGGATTGCGATTAGCATCTCATTTTTTCGTCATAGGAAGATGGACAACTCTGAAGACTGGGCAGCTATGTGAGTACTAATCACTCTCGAGGTTCCCTTGAGTCCATTTCGAGTGTTAGCGCAATCAACGTCGGTTGTAAGTGGGACCCAACGCAATCGTGGTTCGGCAAGCTTTGGAAGGGGTCGGACTAAGACCCAAGCCGAGCATGAGCTGGTTCCAATCGAAGAGGAGATGGTTGCATGTAGAGTTTGCCTGCAAGTCATGCTTGATCGGGCTTGAAGCGCCGAATAGAGCCACCCGCCGATGACGTTTGCCCCATCCAGTTTTTCATATTTTCCCCGAGTCGGTAGCTGTTGTGTTCGATGCCGCAGCTCAGGCTGGATCCTGCGCTGCCCATGAGTTTCCAAATGCAACCGATGGTCCAGCTTCCATGTATGTTGATGCCTATGATGTGATCCGTCACGCAATCTTATCTCGTCGCGAAGCAACACCTAAGCATTTATTGCGCCGACAGATCGTGGCTAATGCCACATAGAGTGTTCAGACAGATTCCATCTGGAGCACGACATCCTATTATCCATGATGCACACCGCTTCATCCCTCCGTGAAGCTACTTTTGTTCACTTGCTGGCGCTCTCTGAGCTCGGGGAGGCTTCCATGCCCCGAAGGTGGAAACTATAGAATCAGAGACACCACCTAAGTACGTGCCAGTGCTTCATTGCGGTGAGCCTCTTTCGGCTGTTCTCGATGCGCTCCGCTAAGCTTGATGTCGCCCTCGTTCGGTTGCCGAAGCCGAGCGTTCATCCTATCCTCATTCCTCATGCCTCACGCCTCGCAACTTGATATTAATGGTATTCAATCTCGTGCGTGTGCTATCATAAATTGCAGGGCTTCCGAGTCGGATTTGGCTCGGTCCGAGGGTACCAATGTGTTCGGAGATACAACGTACATAATCTTCACAACCAATGAGGTTTCACGGATGGGGCGACATGACGAGATCATGTGGCCTTCTTCTCTCACTCAAAGTCCACGGAAAGCAAGCCCGGCCTGATTCATCCGTATATGATCCAGCATACCTTATGCACGCATGACTTGTCTGTGTTCCTCTCAGTAGCCACCAATCGTAAAGGCTGCTGCTGCTTGCTGCCCCTGCAGGCGAGAGGCTAAGTGGGCTTGCTGCTTGCGTTACCACCGAAGATAGCGCAAGAATAGAGCACGCGCGATACTTTGGAGTTCCTTTTGCCAAGTGCATGGGATTTTCGCGAGATGCTATGGACGATTGCTATGAGCCTTTATGAGGAGCGAGCGCTGCCTGTCGCGCACGTCATTCTCTCCCTGTCTTGGGCCGCCCACGACAAGGCCTGCTCCTATGACTTGCTGTCGATACAGGAAATCGAAACAGGTGGCTCATATTTTCCGCACCTCGGGCTTCGTACTTCATACCGTTGCGGCGTTTACACTCCGCCAAGGCACTTTGGCACTTGCCTTCCCAAACTCAAGGGTTCAATGCTCTCACAGACGATAAAGAAAGGAGCATGGAGAAGGGGTTGGATCGAAGAAAGTTACAAAAAGCCGGGGTAATTTTGAAATCTTAAGGCCCTGAATGAACTGCTCCCTGCTGAGCTGCCTTGTGATTGCTCTTTGATGGTACGGTCTTCTGAGTCGACCAGCAATATGTCAGCTTCATTTAAGTCGTCCTCTGACAACATTGGTTGCGACCTCCACGACATCCTAGATCAAGTCCAGCATTTTCAGGAGAACCAGGATGCAAAGGCCATCTCGGTGGCACCGTCATCGACGGGCTGCAAGCCGCATTCTTCTTCCGGCTCTGTGGATGACCTGAGCATCGAGGCCTCTGGATCTCATGCTGCAACGCACGACAATGGAACCCCTGGGACGCCCTTTGAGATCAAGAAGTTTTCAGAATCTGACGGAAACGGGGGCACTCATCTTAGCGAATCGAGCCGGGCCTCGTTGCTCGCAAAGGATGCCACACTAGCTACACTGGCGCCGACGACGCTGAAAATGAAAGATTTCCTCCTCGCGCGCTCGAGCAAGCATCGAAGCATCGTCGATGAAGATTCGGTTGCAACCCAGCCGAGCGTGTTCGACGAAAAGAAGCTTAGAAGCCATTACTGGCCTAGCCAGCAGTGGGAAAATTACAAGAAATTTGACGTCAGCCTCCGTTGGACTTGGCGTGAGGAGAAGGTGTTTTGCTATTTTCCAAGAAAGTGGCGTATCTTCTATCGACTCCAAGACTGATGCTTGTCAAATGCCCCTTTGCCTCCACCAGCAAATTGTCCATATAATCGACCGCAAAGTCATGATCTGGGTCTGCGTCTTCTTTGCCATCCTGAATCTTGACCGCAACAACCTGAACGCAGCAAATGCGGATGGGATCCTCAAGGATCTCCAGCTCACCAGCAATGATTACAACAATGCGAACACAATCTTCAGACTTACTTTTCGTCCGTTCACAAATAGATGACGCCTGATGCATACCCTCTTGCTGACTGGTGCTGTGCACATCCCATTGGCGCTCAAAGTGTTTGCTGAGCTTCCTGGTCAGGTGCGCCGCTGTGCCGTTAAACACAGCGAAACTGCTTCGACGTTTACTCTCTCTACATGACTTACCTGCAGATTATCTCCAAACGAGTTGGACCAGATGTGTTCGTTCCTTGCCAGATGCTAGCCTGGGGTGTTGTGACGCTCGCGCAGTTCTGGCTGAACGGACGCACTTCCTTGTTTATATTGCGCGCTTTGCTGGGCTTGGTGAGCGATCGTCTCGCTTGCTTCCTTCTTTTCTGCTGCAGCACGATGCTGACTGAAAATTGGATTCGCTTTAATTACTGGATCGCAGTGCCAAGGTGTAAGTGCGGACGTCGAACGAGCGCCTTGCCTGAATTGATCGCCTGAGCGATTCTTCCTCACACTTGCAGTCCATGATTCCTGATTTACTTCTCCTCTTGTCCTACTTTTACCGCACGTCGGAGCTACCAATCCGGCTGGTGAGTGGCTTGATACGACGCGCTTTTTGTACTCATGCGCTCAAAATGCATCACTTCATCTGTGCGGAAGTGCTTCTTCTGGGCGACCATGAATTTGACTTCGTTTGTCAGCTCTTTCTTCAGCTATGGTGTCCTGCAAATGCGCGGTGTCCTTAGCAAGCTAGGCTGGCGCTGGCTCTTCCTCATCGAAGGATTGATCACCATCGTGCTGGCCATCCAAGCTTTCCTTGTCATGGTGAGATTTCGCGCGCAGGTGCTTCATCACTATCCACGGGATTCACTGTAGCCCTTATTTCGACACCCTTGCGCGACAGCCCGCATCGCCATCGCAGACTAAGCGAATCTGGAGGAAAAAGCCTTTCCTCAACGAACGACAGGCTACGATTGCAGTCACAAGGATCTTACGAGATGAACCGCAAAAATCGACCATGCACAACCGCGAAGGCCTGCAGCCACGGATGCTTTGGCGGACCCTGAAGAATTGGTGAGAGATGCTAGAGCCGTTCTCTTATACGTTTAAATTTCTCAGGATTGCTAAAATGACTGCTCAATATGCAAATCTGTTCCCACGACTAGGCGTCTTTGTGAGTGCTGCTGTCAAGTTGCACCGTAGATCTCGCAGAATTGAAGGCTTACTTCAGGGGGTTCTGTGGCAGATCCGCTGTACATCCACGGGCTCATCTTCGGCATCCCACTTGCACCCGTACAGGCATACCTGACGCTATCCCTTAGGAATCTCGGTTTCTCGACCCTCTTGACGCAGATCCTGTCAAGCGTGCAGTACGCTGTATCGGTCTTCACCGGCATCGCCGTTGTCGTCCTCTCCGAGCTCGTCAACGACCGCGCTTTTGTCTGTTCATTGGAAGACTTGTGGGCCCTACCGTGTCTGATTGGCATCGTCTCGCTAGGCAATAAAGTCAATCCATGGTAAAGTTTTGCTGCCGGACCTTGCTTTGCGAACAATTCTGAGACCGTCGTTCTTGCAAATTCTTCGCCTTGCAGGACGTACTACACCTTGGCGACAGTCCTTCTTTCGGCCCCTTACGTTCATCCTATCCAAGCGAGCTGGGTCTCTGCCATTGCGGGCGACGTACAGACTCGGACCGTAGCTGCTTCGCTTTACAACATCGCCGTGCAACTCGGGTCAGGTTCGTCCCTTTTTTGGTACGGCTCGTTTCGAGGTCTTGACACTGACGCACAATGCTTGGGATAATCACAGTGGTTTCTTCTCAAGTGTACCAAGCGCGAGACGCACCTCAATATCTGGCAGGGAACATTGCGCGCATTACCATCGCTGCGATACATGTGAGGTCTCTCGACAATCGTACGTGTTGTGATAATGATTGGCGGGATCTTTCTTTACTCTTGCAGATCTGCATGTACGCCGGCACCAAGCTCTTCTACCGAAGGTTAAATACCTCGCGTGAGAAGGTTTGGAATGCAATGACAACAGAGGTTAGCAAGTTATTTTTCCATTATGAGTGTCCATTTTCTCCAAGTGGTCACTGATTTACTTCACTGCTGGCTTGGTTAGGAAAAAGACAAATACCTCGCCACGACCAAGCACGAAGGCAATGAGCGACTCGAATTTCGATTCATCCACTAGTATACTAGAATGTCATGAGCTGCAGAGGCAAGAGAAGCAATCAGAGATTCTTATATCGGGTAATTCACGACGGTTGAAATTGAACCTCATTGAAGTTAAGGAAGCTTTTGCTGATGATTTGCGATCGATTCTGGAGGTCTTGGGCCACTAGGTGGTGCCATTGTGGCGTTGAGGGCTGTGCTCTTGATGTATCGACGAGCGCGCAACCCTACTCCACAACGGGGCGCTTTTCCTCGTTTCCGGCCACCGGCAGTCGCTAGAGGCCGCGCGCCGAATGAGGCACCACACAACTGAAACCATCGGCCAATGGCTCTAGTAGGACATCATGCTCACCATCTCCCAACCGCAGCCATAAGCGAACTCTATCGTGATGGAAGTCATGCCAATCCTGGTTCATTGATCACCTGATTAAACCGCTGCAAAGCAGACCGAGCTGTACTTCTGCGAACTCTCGCTTGGTCGCATACACGCCATTCAAATCCCTGACGAGAGCATCTTCGACAGCACTTTCCGTCTTCCGACCTTCCGGCATACAACTTGTCTCAGATCTATCGTCTGATAAATTAGTCTTGATATGGCAGCTCTTAGAAGCTTTCCTCCATCAGCGGCCAAATCGGAAGTCAGCTCGGTCCCTTTCCTCGGTGCCCGTGCGCTCTTCAGCTTAAACGGAAAGGTAGCCCTTGTCACCGGGGGCGGCACGGGGATCGGCTCCTTTCTTGCCAAAGCATTCGTTGAGAATGGCGCCAAAGGTGAGCCAGAGCTGCGTGATCTATGCAAGATCTAAAATTGGGAAGCTCGAGCTCAAAGGCGCGTATTAACACTTATCACCCGCAGTCTTCATTGCCAGTAGAAAGATGTCGAACCTGACAGCAACTGCAGACGCTCTGAACGCCATCGTGCCGAACTCCTGCCAAGCCATCTCCGGCGACGTTTCCTCCAAATCCGGCTGTGATGCTCTCGCTGTAGAGCTCAAAAAGCAAACAGATCGGCTTGATATTCTTGTCAACAACTCTGGCTTTGCATATGGAGGTGTTGGCATTGACAACGTCCCCGAGCAGGGTTGGGACAGGACATTCTACTTGAACGTCAAAGCCCTCTTCTATCTGACTGTCGCTTTGCTTCCACTTCTAGAAAAGGGAAAGACGGACACGAACACGGCAAGCGTGATTAACATCAGCAGCGTCTACAGCTTTTTCCCAAGCGCATTCCAGCCCACTGTTCCCGGAGGCGGAGCGACATGGAGCTAGTGAGTTGCTGATATTTTGAAAGCCAGGGTTTCCAATTTCTGACTGACGCACATATGCATTCGCAGTGGGCCGTCCAAAGCGGCAGCAGCTCAACTTACAAAAATGATGGCAGCATCATTGATGAAACGACACGTCACCGTCAATGCGATCCTACCTGGTGAGACCTTCTGTCCGTGTCACGTCCGCGCATACCTGCTGAATTGTAACTTTCTTTCCCTCCTTGCCTTGCAGGTTACGTCGCTACGCCGATGACCAAGCATGCGCCGGGCGATATTCTGAGCAAGGCGCATCCATCAGGTCGTATGTCCTCCGCAGTCGATATGGCTGGCATCGCCGTGTTGTACGCTTCGCCAGCCGGTGCGCACATCACCGGCACCCTTACTGTCGTTGACGGAGGTATGACCCTTCAGCAGCCAGATGCAGCCGGAAAGGATGTGGGGGATTCCTTCAGACCGAAAAGGGATGCGAATGGAACTCCAAAGCTGTAAACCACTCAAAAGGATATTACAGATCCGTCACGCAGCCATGGCTCGCGTCCGAGACCACTTTTGTGTACTTGTACAGATGCCCTTGCGAGACCTTGAGTGGCGGAGCCTTCCATTCCTTGCGTCGCTGTGCCAGCTCTGCCTCACTGATGTCCGGAAGCTCGATCGTATTGTTTTCGGCGTCGATGGAGATTGTGTCGCCATCGCGCACCAGTGCGATCGGCCCACCTGCTTGCGCCTCGGGTACGACGTGGCCGATTACAAAGCCATGCGAACCGCCAGAGAACCTGCGCAGAAAAGCCTTCCAGATAAGCAATTGACAACATTTCTCTGATGCATCCTTTCTCACCTGCCGTCTGTGACACAAGCCACATCATGTCCGAGCCTGAAGGGAGTTATGCACATGTCAGTCCCACTTCGAACGGGTCCAATTGATCTGGTAGAGTCGACCTACCCAGCTCCCATAATCTATGAGCAGATTAAAAGAAAATAATATCAGCATTGAGGGAACTGCACGGCGCGGTACCTCTTATGTACTCACTAGTGACGTAGGCTTGAGCATTTCTTTCATTCCTGGCCCACCGAGTGGACCACAGAAGCGAATGACCATGACAGTCTTCTCTCCCTTCTTGATCGACTTATTCTCAACAGCCTCGACCATCTGGTCCTCTGTGTCGAAGACTCTCGCCTTGCCCACAAACTTGGTGCCTTCTTTACCGGTGATTTTGGCAACAGATCCACCAGGGGCGAGATTTCCCTTGAGGATGCGGATGTGGCCGCTCGACTTGAGTGGCTTGTCTACTGGCCGCAGCACATCCTGGCCCGCAGGCAGCTTTCCGTGTTTGTGCGTCCACCGATCGACGTTCTCCGCGAGTGTGCGACCTGTGACGGTCATGTGCTCTCCCTTCATGAGACCCTGCTCGATGCAGTACTGGATGACGGTTGGGATGCCGCCGAGCTTTTGCCAAACATCCTCCATGACGTACTTGCCGCTTGGCTTCAGGTCCGCCAAGAAGGGCGTCGAATCGCTAAGGTGCTGGAAGTCATCGATCGTCAATTTGACACCAACGCTGTGTGCGATGGCGATTAAGTGCAGAACGGCATTAGTACTGCCCCCGAGGACCATCGTCAGGCGGATAGCATCTTCAAAGGCGCCTCGCGTCATGATGTCGCGTGGACGTATGTTCTTCTCGAGAAGGTTGCGAAGGACAGGCCCGACGGACTCGCACTCGGCACGCTTTTCGGGATACTCGGCAGGCCAAGACGAAGAGCCAGGTACAGTCATGCCCAGAGCTTCTGAGCAAGACGCCATCGTATTGGCAGCTATGAGCATATGGAAAAGAACACACATGAGCGAAATGGCAGTTTGCTGCAACACAATCTGGTCGGTAATAACTCACTGTACATACCACCGCAAGCACCTGGACCAGGGCATGCGTGTCTGATGGTGTCATAGCGCTTCTTTTCTGCATCCGGTGTTCCGCCTTCACTGAGGTACTGTCCGTAAGATTGGAATGCTGAAACGATATCAAGCGCCCCAGGAACAGAAGCGCATCCACCCGGACGGATCGTTCCACCGTAGCTGTATGTAGGTTGTCGATGCATTCGGTGTCAGCCATTACTCGGTACCAACGAATTCAATCATCCTGCACTTACACCATCAACCCCGGGCGGTTGAGGCGACCAAGCGCCATGAGGACACCGGGCATATTCTTGTCACAGCCTGGAATGACAACCATTCCATCCAGCCAGTGGCCACCAGCGGCCGATTCGACCGAATCTGCGATCAAATCGCGTGATGGAAGCGAGTAAGACATGGCGTCCGTGCCCATCGAGATGCCGTCTGATACACCGACAGTGCCAAATTGGTATCCTGTCAATCCGGCGCCATTGACAGACTTTTTGACAATCTGGCCGAGCTCGAGAAGGTGCGAGTTGCAAGGGTTGCCCTCGTACCTAACCGTGAGCCATAGGGGCAAAAGTGTGAGCACATGTCTCGACGTCTAGAATAGAGGGTACGTAAAAATGCTCACCAGACGGACGCGACACCGACCATAGCCCTTGTCAGGTCCTCGTCGGTCTTGATACCCTCCGTAGCATACAGCATGGCTTGGCTGGCTCCTTGAGCTTTCGGAACAGTGATGGTTTTGGAATGTCTGTTCAGGCCCTCCCCAGGTCCTGGACGGGCGGCGCTTGCATAGGCACGCGCACTAAGATTGCAGAGCCTAACGCTGGGCCTCGAGCCGGGGAGCGCGCCGCTGCGCATCGCGCGGAGTGCAGGTGCAATGCTGATCATAGCTTCACAAAGGCACTGTTGGTCGCTCTTGGTGATCAAGCGTCATGTAGCGCGAGGTAAGGCCAAAGATATACGCTTTCTGGACCTTGAGGTAGTGTGTACCTCGTTTCTGGCCCGTAAAGCGGGAATCAATCGCTCTTGAACGACTGAAACATCTTCAGCGCAGTGGAGAAAATCCGAAAAAGGATATCATTCGGTGCAACTCTTTGTCTCAATCTCCGCCGCGTTCAGCCTGCTTAATCTGGATACACCACGAATGGAAATAGCGCGCCATCGTCCACTGAGATTCCCCTTTGATTCAAAGCTCACGTTGGAAGAACATTCAATATCAATTGTGTGCCGAGGCAAAGGGAACGCTGCACTGAGTTAAACATCGCCAGTCATGGCGTCCGAGGCTCTACGTGGGCAGCAGGTCCTGGTCACTGGTGCCAACGGTTTCCTTGGTTCGCACCTTACCCTGGCGCTACTCCGACGGGGACATTTCGTTCGAGCTTCGGCTCGTTCGCTTTCGAAGTTCGAGCTTTTCGCCACACGGGAGCCTTTTGCGGAATACTACAAGTCTGGAATGCTCACGTTCACGCCTATGTCAGACTTGGTACATGGCGACTTTAATGATATGGTTAAAGGTTGCGCGGTGGTCTTCCATGTCGCCTCTCCTTTCATCTACCGCAAACTCGAGGCAGGAGAAGCCGAGTCGTTGTTCATGCAACCTGCCCGAGAAGGTGTGCGCAACATCTACGCAGCAGCACAGAAAGCGGGCGTAAAACACCTCATCATGACCAGCAGCGATGCAGCCGTCTTCCAGGCAGACGACAAGTGGGATAATGGCAAACTTTATACCGAAGCAGACTGGAACAAGGCGACCTACAAGGAAGGTTGTGCAAGCCAAGATGCGGGGTTTGCGTATGTCGTCTCCAAAGCTGAGGCTGAGAGGGAGCTCCATCACCTCGCCTCGTCATCCAAGGATGTGCCCATGCACGTCACTGCGATTTGCTGCCCCTGGATCTTTGGACCTTGCATCCACGGGCCAAAGAGCGTAAAGGAACTCAACCTCAGCAACGCATGGCTTTGGCAGTACGTCACCGCTGAACCCGGCACGGACGTGCCCACTGAGAATAACCCGATCTACGTCGATGTGCGTGACGCAGCCGAAGCGCACGTGCTTAGCTGGGAGAAGGCGCAAGCTGGTCGATTCTTGCTCTCAGGCGGGCATTGGGATCCAAGAAAGGTGCTCGACATCATGCTTGCAAGCGACAACGAAGAGCTCGTGAAGCTTGCTAAGCACCGTCTCGGTGATCAATGTGCACAGCCGCACCCGAGCCGATGGCAGGAGGCGAATGCAATGTGCCAATCGTACGATAGCACTCGCAGTCGTGAACTGCTCGGCCTATCATACCGCTCGAACAAAACGTCCATTATAGATGCATGCTCGCAATTTGCAGGCCTTCCGGCATGATTATAATTAACCCCAAAGACTCTGTGTTTTCCCTTCAATGTGCCTAGTGTAGTACTTTTTTATTCTACGCGGCAAGCAAGTTGGAACAGTTCCGATAGTTAAGTATGACGTGAGCTCGTCAGGTGCGCGCGATTGTAACGACGTCCACCAGCCTTGTAATTGGGACAGCACAGATGTCTGCCCTGCAGCGTGAGCTCGCTAATCGTGCCTTTCGAAGCTGGGGCGTCGCGATATCACGGCGCCACCTTCAAGTACCATGTGAGTTCGAGAAAGCTTCCGACTGTTACATTACTTCATGAACTTGAGGTGTTCTCGATTGCGTGCCAGTGCGGATTGCAGAGACTTTATAGTGTTAGGGTTGGGGTTGTGGGTCAACGCTGCTCAATGCTTGCTGTCGCCGCTGACGTGTCTGCCTTGCTAGCAATTTATGTGATGTACTGATTGTCCCCTCCCATTTGTATGTATGTATGTATGCCGGGGACGATCCACCCATATTCGCGTTGAATCGGTCGATTTATAGATTAGCGTGTAACGGCGAAAATGCGGGGGCTGAGAAACAGGCACTGCAGCAGTCACATTTATTCTTGTGCCTTGCCTGTTTTACCCTATTCCGCGGAGTGCCCAGGCTGGTTTAGTTGCAGACCATCGCTCACCCTTTCACCATCTCCCTGTGCACTACCCCTGCTTGACTCTCTACTGTACATTTATTCCACATCACAAACGTCATGACACGAGCGAAGAGGCAGGACCAGGAGGCAACAGGTGGGTCGATGCTGCCCCCTCGCCCTAGCCCTCAGTCTCGCCGTTGCCGTGTCACTTTCTACTGCAACAAAACATTGCGACCCCAGTGAGCATCGTCACTCGTTCCCTGTTTTGCGATACTGCTGCACCCACCCATGTCAGTGTGGCCGTGCCCGAAAGCAGCGTCCTCAGGTGTTGCTGGCAGGAAGCGCGGCTCTCAATATAACGAGCCGTGCGCTCGCGGACTTGCAGGAGAGTCAGCGTATGGCACCCACTTCCCACGTCGAATCAAGCCTTGTGCCGCTTTTAACACAAGATGATTGCACTCAAAAGCAAACAATATGGTTTCACGGCCCCGCCTATGCATGGCCTGCACTTCACATCTGGTGTCAGCGTCTGACACTTGACTGCACAAGAATGGTAGAAAATGCATGAATCGGGTTGAATTTATCCATCTGTGGGCAGCTGCACACTCGTCTGAACTACAATAAAGACATCGGTGATCCGTCTCGCCCGAGCATGCACCAGTTGACGTGCAATGAGCGGGGCCTGTATGCATTTCGCCTGCAAGACACAAATAGACGCCCCGGATGCGCTGCGCTGCTCTGCTGTGTGCTCCTTGTGCCCCCCTTTCTCCTTCTCGT